GTTATGAATTCCATTCTTTTGCATTTGCTGAGGAGTGATTTACTTCCAATTATGTGATTAGTTTTAGAGTAGGTGTGATGTGCTGCTGAGAAGAATGTATATTCTGTGGATTTGGGGTGGAGAGTTCTGTAAATGTCTATTAGGTTTGCTTGGTCCATATCTGAGTTCAAGTCCTGGATATTCTTGTTAATTTTCTGTCTCGTTGATCTGATATTAACAGTGGAGTATTAAAGTCTCCCACTATTCCCCATATTATTGTGTGGGAGTCTAAGTCTCTTTGTAGGTCATTAAGAACTTGATTTCTGTATCTGGTTGCTCCTGTATTGGGTGTGTATATATTGAGGATCGTTAGCTCTTCTTGTTGCATTGATCCTTTTACCATTATGTAATGCCCTTTGTCTCTTTTGATCTTTGTTGGTTTAAAGTCTATTTTATCAGAGACTAGGATTACAACTCCTGCTTTTTTTTTGCTCTCCATTTTTTTGGTAAATCTTCCTCCATCTCTTTATTTTGAACTTATGTGTGTCCTTGTATGTGAGATGGGTTTCCTGGATACAACACCGTGATGGTTTTTGACTTTTTATCCAATTTGCCAGTCTGTGTCTTTTGATTGGGGCATTTAGCCCATTTACATTTAAGGTTAATATTGTTATGTGTGAATTTGATCCTGCCATTTTGATGCTAGCTGGTTGTTTTGCCCATTAGTTGACACAGTTTCTTCATTGTGTTGATGCTTTTTACCATTTGGTACATTTTTGGAGTGGCTGGTACTTGTTGTTCCTTTCTATGTTTAATGCTTCTTTCAGGAGCTCTTGTAAGGCAGGCCTGGTGGTGACAAAATCTCTCAGCAATTGCTTGTTCTTAAAGGATTTGATTTCTCCTTCCCTTATGAAGCTTAGTTTGGCTGAATATGAAATTCTAGGTTGAAAGTTGTTTTCTTTAAGGATGTTGAATATTGGCCCCCACTCTCTTCTGGCTTGTACAGTTTTTGCAGGAGATCTGCTGTGAGTCTGATGGGCTTCCCTTTGTGGGTAACCCGAGCTTTCTCTCTGCTGCCCTTAGCATTTTTTCCTTCATTTCAACCCTAGTGAATCTCACAATTATGTGCCTTGGGGTTGCTCTTCTTGGGGAATATCTTTGTGGTGTTCTTTGTATTTCCTGGACTTGAATATTGGCCTGCCTTGCTATGTTTGGGAAGTTCTCCTGGATAACATCCTGAAGAGTGTTTTCCAGCTTGGATTCATTTCTCGGTCACATTCAGGTACACTTATCAAATGAAGATGAGGTCTTTTCACATAATCCCATATTTCTTAGAGGATTTGTTTATTTCTTTTCACTCTTTTTTCTCTAATCTTGCCTTCTCGTTTGAGTTGACCTTCAATCTCTGATATCCTTTCTTCTTCAGCTATTGAAACTTGTGTATGCTTCACAAAGTTCTCGTGTTGTGTTTTTCAGCTCCATTAAGTCATTTTTATTCTTCTCTAAGCTGTTTATTCTCATTAGCATTTCGTCAAACGTTTTTTCAAGGTTCTTAGTTTCTTTGCATTGGGTTAGAACATGTTCTTTTAGCTCAGAGAAGTTTGTTATTACTCATCTTCTGAAGCCTGTTTCTGTCAATTCATCAGACTCATTCTTGATCCAGCTTTGTTCCCTTGCTGGTGAGGAGTTGTGATCCCTTAGAGGAGGAGAGGCATTCTGGTTTTGGATATTTTTATCCTTTTTGTGCTGTTTTCTTCCCATCTCTGTGGATTTATCTACCTATGGTCTTTGTAGTTGGTGACTTTTGGATGAGGTCTCTGAATGGATATTCTTTTTCTTGAAGTTATTTCTTTCTGTTTTTTAGTTTTCCTTCTAACAGTTAGGCCCCCCTGCTGTAGGACTGCTGAAGTCCACTCCAGACCCTGCTTGCCTGGGGATTGCCTGGGGATCACCGGGGGTGGCTGCAGAACAGTAAGGGTTTCTGCCAGTTTCTTCTTCTGTTATTATTGTCCCAGAAGGATACCCGCCGGATTCAGCCTGAGCTCTCCTTTATGAGGTAACTCTTTGGATATACGGGGGTCAGGGAGCTGCTTGAGGAGACAGTCTGTCCCTTACAGGAGCTCAAGTGCTGAGCTGGGAGTTCTGTTGTTCTATTCAGTGCTGCTGGGCAGGTATGTTTAAGTCTGCTGCAGCAAACTCATAACTGCCTTTTTTCCCAGGTGCTCTGTCCTGGAAAGGTGGACCTTTATTTATAAGTTCCTGATGTGCTGCTACCTTTTTTCAGAGCTGCCCTGCCCAGCAAGGAGGTAGCCTAGCCACAGTCTGCCAGCAGAGGCGTTGCTCAGCTGCTGTGGGCTCTGCTCAGCTGCTGTGTGAACTTCTTGCAATTTTGTTTATAGAGGTATAGTTAGAACTGCCTCAGTAACGGCAGTCTGCCTCAGTAAGGGCGAACTGACTCTGTAATGGCCGACTGCCTCAGTAATGGCGGACTGCCTCTGTAATGGCGGACTGCCTCTGTAATGGTGGACTGCCTCCGTAATGGTGGACTGCCTCGGTAATGGCAGACTGCCTCTGTAATGGTGGACTGCCATGGTAATGGTGGACTGCCTTGGTACTGGTGGACGCCCTTCTTCCAACAGAGCTGGACCATCCTGGGTCCAGCTGTGCTTGCTGCAAAACTCTGAATCCAGAACATTTCAGATTGCTGGTGTTTGTGGGGGTGGGACCTGTTGAGCCAGATCACCTGGCTCCCTGTTTCAGCCTCCTTTTTTTCAGTTGAATGGGTGACTCTGTCTCTCAGGCATTCTAGGTGCTGGTTGAAACAGCTGCCCAGATTTGTGTGAGTTTTTGTGCAGAGACCCCCTGCACTGGCTGAAATAGCCATCCTGGAAACTCGTGGTGTTTTTCAGCCTAGTAATCTCCTGGTCTGTAGGCAGTGATAACTCATTTGGAAATGTGATAACTCACCCTCTGTGATGCTGTCGCTGGGAACTGCCCCCCAGAGCTATTCCCATTCAGCCATCTTCCAAATGCCTTCTTTAAAGAAGTTGGATATATGTGTTTCTATATAAAATGGTAACCTAAAATTTGAGTGGAATTAAAATGCAGATTCCTGTTGATCAAGGAAAGGTACATTATCATCCTGTTTAACTTCCTTTGAAATACTACAATATTACTATATTTGAAGAGGGTATGGACAATGAAGTATCTTCCTACAGTTAGAATATTTATTTGGAGTTGACATCTGATTTGTAATTTTGTTAAATATTTGTAGACAAGTGTGCGTTTAATATCTTGAGCCTTCCATAGCAAAATTCTCTTTTAAAAAAATATTTTTAGAGACAGGGTCTCACTCTGTTGCCCAGGCCAGAGTGTAGTGGTGTGATCATAGCTCACTGAAGCCTCAAACTCATGGGCTCAGGTGATCCTCCTGCCTTAGCCTCCCAAGTAGCCAACACTACAGGCAACTACCACTCCACTGGGCTAATTTATTAAAAACTTTTTTTTGTAGAGCTGGGTCTCAGTATGTTGCCTAGGCTGGTCTTGAATCCCTGGCAAGTGATCTTCCCACACCGGCCTCCCAAAGTGCTGGGATTACAGGTGTGAGCCACTGGCCTGAGTCATTATTTTGATTCAAGGACAGGATTAAACCTATAACCCTTAAACCTGTTCCTAAAAATAATATTGAGATATTTCTTAGTCTTGATTTTTCCCACCTTTTAATTTCTGTATTTAGCCAAAAGGACATTAAAGAGTAGAATAGGAGACAAACTTTAGAAATACAGGGAAAAGAGAGTAGTAATTGTTATATTCTGAATATAAACTCATACTTGGATACTCATCAGTATTTGATTTCTAGGAGGGTGAATGTATATGGAGTAATTGAATTTACAAAGAAAAGGGTATAGGGTAGGCCCAGCTCTTTATAGAACAATCAAAGTTTCAGGACAGTTTCCTAGGAACCTCAAGTTTTCTTCATGTATTATTTATTGTTTAGTACACAGAGGTGATCAGCATTGGAATTTATCTGTCCTCATTTCCTGCCTTTTTTTCTAGGTTACTACCTATTTGGTATTAAAGGAGAATATAAGATAGAGAAGAAAGTAGTGAATGAATTTCATTTGATTTGGAATAGATTGGACACTCTAATGGTCTTGCTTCTCTACAACCTCTCTTCCATCTGACCTCTAAATGTTGAAGTGCTTCAGGAATTGTCTTAGACCTTCTTCCTTATCTACAATTCCTCTCCAAGTGAATCCATAGAATTCTATGACATGAAAACTCCCAAACTTTTCTCTCTAGAACTTCTTGACTCTAGTCTCTTATATCGGGTTGCTGATTTGGTATCTCTACTTGGATGTCTCTGAGATACCTTAAACTCAATATGTGCAAAATGTATATAGCTCTTGATTTTTCATCCTGTAAAAATACCATTCATTTCTTGGCCTTTATACTCACAGTCTTTGGCACTACAGTTCACCTAGCTGCACAAACGTAAAACTTGGGAGTCATCTTTATTTATTTTTCTGTAGCATCTTCATTCTAGTTCATCAACCCAACTTCTCTGTACTATAAAATTAAAATAATAATACCTTTTTAGTAACATGGGGGATTAAAGAAGTTAATAAACAGATGTAATCTTAGAATAGTACCTGGCATATAGTTAACACAATATACAGTAGTAGCAGTAGCTACTACTGCTACTGTTATTATTACTTTTTCTCCCCTACGGAATCAACCCCCTGTGCCAAGCCACCATCTTTTTCATGGACCACTGCAGTAGCTTTTATTTTTGTGCATACATTGTTGTTATATTACAATCCATTGTCCACAGAGCTGGGGCATTCTTTCAAAAAGAAATCAAGTCACACTTTCCTGCTGTACACGCTTTAGTGGCTTCCCTCTGCTCTTAGAGTAAAATCCATACACAACACTGCACAACCTGGCTCCTGCCTATTTATCAATCTTGCTCATTGTGTTCCAATCTGGCACACTTTAACCAAGGCTTTTCCTTCCTTCAGGCTTTTGTATTTGCTATTCCTTCAGTATGAAATTCTCTTCCCTCAGCTGTTGTCAAGTCTAGTTCATTTGCATTTTTGGCATTTCAACTCAATTGTCATCTCAGTGACCAGTTTTTATCTGAGGTAAGAAAAAAAAAAGGTTTTCATTCATACCCATCCTTTCTTGCTTTATAATAGCTAGCTGGTTGTGCCTTTAAGAGCCAGCTGTGTACTCTAGGCAAAACCAAGTGGACCACCTTAGCCAGGGGGCTGAAGACTGCTCAGACAGAGAATCCTGCTGTCAGCAGAAGGCTGATAACAATGCAGATAATAACTGAATGTTGTTTAGTGTTTAATTTGATAGGAAATAAAGGCACAGTGGAACTTAAATCTCTGTATTTTACAAGTTCTGAAATTTTCTTCTTGACCTTGAAATGAATCTAACAAAACTCTAGCCTCAGAGTGAGGAACTCTTCCTAATTTTGGCAGTCTTTAAGAGTCTCTAACCCAAAGTAATGACTGCCTATTTAATATAATCCAGTATTCATGACCAGGCGTGGTGGCTCACATCTGTAATCCCAGTACTGGAAGGCTGAGGTGGGCTGATCACGTGAGGTCAGGAGATTGAGACCAACCTAGCCAATACAACAAAACCCTGTCTTTACTAAAAATATAGAAATTAGCCAGGTATGGTGGTGGGCCCCTGGAATCCTCACTACTCAGGAAGCTGAGGCAGGAGAATCCCTTGAACCCAGGTGCGGAGGTTGCAGTGAGCCAAGATCGTGACACTGCACCCCAGCCTGGATGACACAGTGAGACTCTGTTTCAAAATAAGAATAACCCAGTATTTATAAATGTTTTATATAGCTACAGAAAGTGCCTGCATTAATCTTGAAAAGTCCAAACTATTCATTCTTAAGATTATCTTTATTAAGTTGGAACCAAATTAGTGAATACTTCTTGCAACTTTCCTTCTTTATGTTCGGCTAGCATGAATCTTGATGGCTCTGCACAAGATCCTGAAAAGAGGGAATATTCTTCTGTCTGTGTTGGCAGAGAAGATGACATTAAAAAATCTGAAAGAATGACAGCTGTTGTCCATGATAGAGAAGTGGTCATTTTCTACCACAGGGGAGAATATCATGCCATGGATATTCGCTGTTACCGTAAGATTTTATTTTTCATTTGTAAAACTTTAAACCATAGGGGCCGGGCACGGTGGCTCAAGCCTGTAATCCCAGCACTATGGGAGGCCGAGGCGGGTGGATCACGAGGTCAAGAGATCGAGACCATCCTGGTCAATTTGGTGAAACCCCGTCTCTACTAAAAATGCAAAAAATTAGCTGGGCATGGTGGCGCGTGCCTGTAATCCCAGCTACTCAGGAGGCTGAGACAGGAGAATTGCCTGAACCCAGGAGGCGGAGGTTGCGGTGAGCTGAGATTGTGCCATTGCACTCCAGCCTGGGTAACGAGCAAAACTCCATCTCAAAAAAAAAAAAAAAAAACTTTAAACCATAAAAGCATAAAAATTTCATTTTTTTAGTGACTACATGTAATATTCAATTCCATTTCAGACTCAGGAGGACCTTTACATTTGGGAGATATAGAGGTATGTAAATTTATTTTCAGCAAATTCAGATGTTTTCTATTTATATTCTTATTTCATTATTTATTCATAAATAACTTAATTGGTTTGAACTATATTTCACTGGTTTGAATATGATTTCAAGTATTTTGGGAATTCATAAGATAAATATGAGAAATATGCATATCTTTTGACCTAGCAATTATACTCCATATTCTATGGCCATAATTGCACTGATGTTTAAGTATTTATATAGGAATGATTCAGTGTAGCATTATTTATTATAATGAATAATTGAAGGCAACCTAAATGTTTTAACAATAGAAAATTGGTTAAATAAATTATGGTACAGCCATGCTATGGAATAACTGTGCCATGCAATCATTAAATTAATGAGGAAGATCTGTATGAGTATGGAGAGATGTGAACAATGTATTTATGACTGAAAAAAGCAAATCATAAGATAATATTTCTTATGAGATCCCATTTTTAATCAACCAGAATATTCACTTTTTACTTTATACATTCTGCATAATTTGAATCTTTTACAATGAGTATATGTTACTTTATAACAAAAATATACAGTATAAATATATTTTTAAAGAAGTAAACCACACTTTGAAGTCTTAACCGAGGAGGAATAGGGGAAACTGTCTTTGCTTCCTTGGATTCCAAAACTAGTCACTCAGTTTCTTGTTTCTTACTTTATGAAATTGGTCTCGCTCTAACTGATGCAAAGTAGAAGCTTGAACTTAGCATTCCGCACTCTCTACACTTGATGAGTGTACATACTGTCCTCATGTTAAAGAACATATGTGTTTATTTTTTCTATTTTTCCCATTGTCCAAGCCCACATATGTATGTTTAAATTATGAAAATGTGAATGCTGACAGTTTTATGAAAGTACAAATCAGTATTCCTGCACTTTTGGTGATAGAGGGGAAAATGAAAGCACCCACTTACGTTTGTAAGCTGATAATAGTTTCATAGAATTTTTCCCAGTTTCAGTCCATAATGAGAGTTTGAAGACCTTGCTACTTAGTGTTGTCCATAGACCAGCAACCTTGGTGTCACATGGGAGCTTCTTGGACATTCAGAATCGTTTCCCTTAGAGTTCCCCAACCCCTTAGAGTTACTGCATTTAAACAGAGAGGCATGCATTTAAACAAGATACAAGTGATTCCCATGTTTTTTAAAGTATAAGAAACACTTCACTAAGACAGTTAAAAAGTTGGGAATCGGCTGGGCGCGGTGGCTCAAGCCTGTAATCCCAGCACTTTGGGAGGCCGAGGCGGGTAGATCACGAGGTCAAGAGATCGAGACCATCCTGGTCAATTTGGTGAAACCCCGTCTCTACTAAAAATGCAAAAAATTAGCTGGGCATGGTGGCGCGTGCCTGTAATCCCAGCTACTCAGGAGGCTGAGGCAGGAGAATTGCCTGAACCCAGGAGGCGGAGGTTGCGGTGAGCCGAGATCGCGCCATTGCACTCCAGCCTGGGTAACAAGAGCGAAACTCCGTCTAAAAAAAAAAAAAAAAAAAAAAAAAAGTTGGGAATTAACTACCTTGGATCACAGATTGCTTTTCTGTTATCATATGCACCCATGCCTTTAGTAACTCCTTTAGAATTTATATCTAGACCTTACAATTCTTCTAGCAGCTAGTGAAAATTCCTATAGAGGCACTTGACGTCCTTGCCCCATTTCTGTCAAGGAGGCACGTAAACACCTAATAGATAACAGCACAGCTGCAGTCACATGGTTTAGTTGCCTGAGCATGTCAGTCTTCTGATAGAGCTCTAACTGGCTTTCTAATCAACTGCAAAATAACTTGATGACTATTCTCAGATTAGGTTCTGCTTATGCTGAATAATTTGTAAATAGGAGGAAAAAAGAGAAGCTAACCTGTTTTTTAACCTGGTTCTTCTGCAGCAGATTCTGTTCAGAGTCTATGATGTATCAAGAACTTGACATGTCAGAATTTTAATGAGTTATTTTCTTCCCCAGGATTTTGATGGACGACCGTGTATAGTTTGCCCCTGGCATAAATACAAAATTACTTTGGCAACAGGAGAAGGTCTGTACCAGTCTATAAACCCTAAAGATCCATCAGCAAAACCCAAGTGGTGCTCCAAAGGAATAAAGCAAAGGATTCATACAGTGACAGTAGATAATGGGAATATTTATGTGACTCTTTCTAATGAACCTTTTAAGTGTGACTCTGATTTTTATGCCACTGGAGACTTCAAAGTAATTAAGAGTTCTTCCTGATAAAAAATACGTAGCAATGAAAAATATTGTGTATGCTTAAAAACATTTTTAGAATAACTCTGCTTCAGTTTTAAAGGTGATGATTTTTTTCAACGTAGGCACAACAATTTAAACATTATATAAATTTGAGAGGTTTAAGAGCGTACATACTTAGTATGATGTAAGGATTATCATCAGGATCAATAGAATACATTTTATCTAATCCTCTGGATTAATTAGAACCTGAAGGTTATAGGTTTGGGATGTTCTGTTTAAGAAGGATGAAAATAAATTTGGAGTAAACAACGTAAATAATACGTAAAAGTTAATGTTTAGTCAGAAAAAAAAATTTTAATTTTTAAAATAGGAAAAAATCCCTGTTTGACATAGCAGACTTAATTCTGGAAAAGTTTTAATATATACAAAGTAAACAGAATATATAATGAACTTCCATCGCTCAGCTCTAACAGTTATCAGCATTCTTCTATTCTTTTTTTATTTATTACCTCTATGGATTCCCTACCTCTCCTATTTGATTGTTATTTTTACATTTTTAGGTAAATTTTAAATACATTGAAATGTTCAAACCTGAACTGTACAGTTCTCCCAAATAATATAGCAGACTTTTTATACTTAAAAAATGCCTCCAAAAATGAGCTAAGTTTACCTGCTGAACTTGAAACTTAACCACTGTCCTAGACATTAAAACCAAATAAACCTTGGCTTAGTTTCTCTGATCAAGGCAGATCTTGAAGTAAGGAAGCCACACGCAGCTGCTGCCGAACCATTGGAGATGTAAAGTCTCCTATTCAATGAACCTGTGTACTTTGAATGCCTATATGAAATTTTCAAATAAAGATTTTTAACATTTTTTAGAACTTTGTGAATGTATGCACAACTAAGTGTCTCCTATAAATGTTTTAGAGAGGAGATCTAGGGTTCTGTTCCTTGGAGTTCCCAGGCAAGGTTGATGTTCACTTGGTTCACCCTGGTTTTCTCATGTCAGTTTTCTGTGGTCAGTACTGTTCTGTTGCCTGGGGCTCATACTAACTAGTTGTTAGTATACATACATAACTAGTTGTTATCTATTTAAAATAACACCCCGAGCATCCACCATGTAAAAATCAGCAGCACATAGTGGTGATTTTGTTATGGTCGGTGTTCATGCAAAAATCACCATTATCTGGGACCAGAAATAGCTAAAATGAGTAGATGATGAATTCAGAGTGAAAAGAACTGTTTGTCAAGATTGGAACCTAGTCTCAACGAACAGTAATATTTTTAGTGGAATCTGATTAAATTAAGAATCTAAACTTAATATTTAACATTCTAAGGGGCCCACCTGGACTCTTTCCCTTGGTTATTATAAAAATAGTAAATGAATAAAGTCTGTATAGTTAAGACTCTGCTTACAGGGACCTTTGCTACATATTATCACACTTCCTTTTCTGTTGGAGTATGGGTAGCATAAGTAGCCCTTGGTCCTCATTTCTCAGACAACCAATGAGCCAAACTTGGGCTTGGTATAGATACTGTTTATGGTAGCAGCTACTCGCTAAGTACAGAAAATGTACTGTCTCTCAGTAAGGTACATCCCAGTCTATTCTATCATGTGATAATCCTTCAATGCTCAGTCAGGTCTTAACACATGTCCAGAATGGAAAATGTATAGAAGAAATCAAAGTACTTTCTGCAGCCAAAAACTGTAGCTCTGGTTTTCAGGAATAATTACAGAAATATTTTGTCACAAAAGCCACTGGCAATAGTGAGTAGTGTGCACTTGAATTTTCATTTTAAATTTGTATCTCTAAATCTAGAAATAAAAAAATCACATCATGTCCTGTCTTCAGATATAGAAATCTTCTCATCACATTTGTAAATAATAATGAGACTTTTATAAATTTATGACATCTGTGAATTGCAGATCCTTCCGTGATTTATAAAATGATAGACTCAAACTCTGCAGGCTGTATATAAAAAAATAATATTCTTTTATTTTGATAGTGCTTTTTTTCCTCCCAAGTAAAGAATTAGACACTCGTCTTTACTAAAAACATTAATGTTTTATATGTGTGTGTGTGTGTGTGTGTGTGTGTGTGTGTGTTCATATTATAAACCACAGTGTAAAGTCTAACCCACTAAAGAGTGGATTTTCTTGCTCCTTGAAAGTAGTCAGTACATATATTCCACATCAATATTCCTTTTATTTACTCTACCATGTAAATACTAGAAAATGACATTTTAATTGTAGTACCCTTCTCTTTTTTTATAAGAAAGCAGAGCAATTCAGAATATTTAAACTAGTCTCTGAGTTTTGTCCGATGAAATGTGCCATTAAATAGATAACTTTTAAGTTCCGTTCAGTAATATCTGCATTCAGATTTGCTCATCCATTTCAGCTGATTGGTCAAACACAGAATGTAAAACTTGGATTTTGTTACTCTGCTTATTAGCAGGAAGCTTGGCGTAACATGAAATGTCTGGCCTCTCTGGCAATGACCTATAAGGTTTTGCTTTGATTTCACCGTCAGGAAACGTAGGCTCTGAAAGCACGGGCTCAGAAAAGGCTTTTCTACAATTTTCACTCTCTTCTCTGCTTTGCCTTATGGCTTCTTCTTCCTGGAAGATATTCTTTACCTTCTCCAGCACAGCATTAACATAGACTGCCTATATAATAAAAAGAGTTTGAAAAGTAAAATCTCTTTTTGAGCTACTAACCACAGATATACAATATAGTGTTTAACATAAAGTCATTAATCTATGTAATCTAATAAAAACACCTCTTTTCAGGACCTCCAGGCACACAATATAATAAGCAATGGGAGATGGTTCTAAATATCACACTACAATCTAGAGAGCAACTTAAAACCTAGTATACTTCAATAAATATGTGTTTTACATCTTTTCCCCCCAATTCATCAGATGTTTTACATCTTCTCTTGATGTAATTAAACATTTTCTGAGAGAGAGGATTCGTCCTCAAATGTGTTTTTCTCAAAGTAGGATTTTTGTTTTAATTTTCTTCCCCCTAGACTTTGCTTGTACTTACATGCAGAATGGAAGGACATCAACATATCAGTAAGAATTTGGTAAGCTGCTATCAGTGGTTTCCCAGCAAATATGTGATCCACTGTCCCCTCCAAAAATGCTACTCAGTACTTTGAGGAGAGGAGTGTCAAAATAAAACAAAGAAAAATAACTTCAAAAATTCAGAACTAAGGACTGCATTCATTAAACTTACTCTGTAAGTTTACTAGTGATAAAGATGATGATGATGGTATTTAAGGCAAGCAATGAGAACAGAAAATTCATGAATTATGAGTCTTCAAATACAGTGCTTAGAGCATAGAAGGGACTCCTAAAAGCAAGCTTTTAGGAAAAAAGAGGGAAAGACCCTGTTGTCTTAGGCTTTTAGGGCTGCTATAACAAAATACCTTGAACTGAGTCGGTTATAAACAATTGAAATTTATCTCTCACAGTTACAGAGAGTGGGAAATCCAAGATCAAGGCACTGGCAGATTCAGTGACTGGTGAGGGCTGGTTTTCTGTTTCATAGACGGTACCTTCTAGGTATGCCCTCATATCAGGCCTCATTTCTAAGGGCACTAATCCCATTCATGAGGACTCTGCTCTCATCTAATCACCTCCTAAAAGTCCCACCTGCTGATACCACCACCTTCAGGTTAGATTTTAAAATAAGAATTCGGGGGAAGCACAGACATTCAAACCTGGGTTTTGATAATATTTTGGACTTAAATGTACAAACCTGGAAATTGCCTGACTCCCAATTTCTAATTAAGATATTTAAATGTCTTTATTAAGCCATTGTCATTCAGATATCTTTTGTGACTTGCACTTTTATGTATCCAAACCCAGCACTAGAAACCTGTAAAGTCATGACCCTTACCTGTAAATAGCCTCATCCATTTATCCCAAACATAATCATTGTCTATGAATGCCATGTTGTGAGAAGGGTTGGAAAGTTCTGTCCTACTTGAAACATTCTCTCTTCCCTCACCAACAAAATTTTATCTGTGTACATTCTAACCACCTTTTTCAAGTCTCAGAAAATGAATGGTCTTGATTAAGGTCAATATCCTTCATCTTTGTTTTCAACCTACACCCTACCATCTTCTCTATCAGTTATTCCTTGTCTCTTCCACCTCTTTACTCTTGATTGGCTCTTCCCCTGTAACCTATAACATGCTTGTTGACTGCTACACACTCTGTCTTCTTAGTCAAACCCGAGTCTGTTTCCATGCTATTACCTTCTGTTCACTCTGAAACCTATTTCTGTCTTCCTTATCCAGTTATGTAACTGAAATCGTTTCTGAGATGGTTAACTTCAACATCTTTACTACTGTGTCTCGTGGACACCTCAGATCATCATTTCACTTGACTTCTGCTTGTATTTGACACTTAACTACTCACAACATCCTGAGTCTCTGTTTCCTTGGCACTATTTCTCCTGATTTTTTTTCTTGCCTTTCTGATTGTTTTCTTGTCTCACAAATGGATTCTTTTTCAGCTCACCTAAATGTTGCTCTTCTTCATATTTCTGTTGACTTACCACTCTTTTCTCTTGACATGGTTCCACTCATAGGACATTAACTTCTAACATATATATTGTTTTCAAAACCAAAATTTTAGCCCCCACCTCTCCCAGGCCTTAAATGCGTATATGACCAATTATCAGATCACCAGAAGTTCGTTTCTGTTACCTACTTATAAAGTTCATGGCATGACAAATTGTGTGAGATGATTTCAACAGCCTTTGAGAAATTGAAGTTCAATTTTTGTTTTAGTCTAGTTTTTATTTCTACACAGACATGTCATCCTGTTCATTTTTTGCAATGTATTTGCATCCTAGCTTAGTTGAATGCCAATTTTATATGAGATTCACATTTAAGATATTGAGCACTTCTTGAAAATTTAAAACAGTGGCAAAATATTTGATAAAATGGATTTTTTAAAAACTGAAATAATACACTTAAAAGTAAGTTCTATCTTTTTACAAGGGTATTTGGTTATTCTTGACCCTGTACACTATACATTTTAGAACTAACTAGTCAACCTACACACACACACATACACACACCTGCTTGGCTCTTAATTGAGACTTCTTGTATGTTTTGATATGATATAAAAATATTAACAAAAATGTGTAAGAATGCTAACAAAAAAACCCATAAAAATAATTAAAAGAAATTAAAGAAGACCAAAATAAATAGAAGGATCTATTATGTTCATGAACTGGAAAGAGTACTTATTCTCCCAGTTTTTAACATATATTATAAAGCTCCTGTAATTAATACAGTGCTGAATTGGTACAAGAATAGACAAATAGACCAACTGAATAGAATAGGGAATCCATAAACAGACCTACATATAAGGGACACTTGATTTATGACAAAAATAGTATTCTAGGACAATAGGAAAAAGGCTTTTTTTTAAAGAAAAAATAAATTGGATTGAATTAACTACTCATGGGGAAAAATTTGACTCTTACCTCACATTAGTTCAAGATGGATTACAAATCTAAAGGTGAAAGGTAAAATAATAAAGCTTCTAGAATGTAACAGAGGAGAATATTTTCATGACCTGAGGTGTAAGTCAAGATTCTTTTTGAAGCAAAAATCACTTAACATAAAGGAAAAGATTAATAAATTGGATTACATTAAAATTATTGATAAGCTTCTATTTATTTTAAGACTGAATATCACTATTATGCCCATGCTGGTCTCACTCCTGGGCTCAAGGGATCCTCCTGCTTCAGCCTCCCCCATGAATTTCCTGAGTATCAGGGATTATAGGCACGCACCAGCATGCCTGGCTAAGAATTTCTGCTTTAAAAGACACTGCTAAAAGAATGAAAAGGCGGCCGGGTGCGGTGGCTCAAGCCTGTAATCCCAGCACTTTGGGAGGCCGAGACGGGTGGATCACGAGGTCAGGAGATCGAGACCATCCTGGTCAACATGGTGAAAGCCCGTCTCTACTAAATACACAAAAAATTAGCTGGGCATGGTGGCGCGTGCCTGTAATCCCAGCTACTCAGGAGGCTGAGGCAGGAGAATTGCCTGAACCCAGGAGGCAGAGGTTGCGGTGAGCCGAGATCTCGCCATTGTACTCCAGCCTGGGTAACGAGCAAAACTCCGTCTCAAAAAAAAAAAAAAAAAAAAAAGCAATGAAAAGGCAGAACATCGGATATGAGAAGAAATTTGTCCATACATACTTTTAAAAGGACAGGCTCCTAGAATAATGCTTTTTAAAGTGAAAAAAAAAAAAAAAAATCTTTTTTTAAAAAAGACATCTCTAAATAGAAAAACAAGAAGAGATTTTAACAGAAATTCACAAACAGAATATCCAAATGTCCAATTAATGTATGCAAAGGTACTCAATCTCATTAATAATAAGGGAGACGTAAAGTAAAACCACAATATGATAATACTACATACCCACAAAAATGGCTAAAAAGGAGCCGGGTGCGGTGGCTCATGCCTGTAATCCCAGCACTTTGGGAGGCCGAGGCGGTGGATCACGAGGTCAAGAGATCAAGACAATCCTGGTCAACATGGTGAAACCCCGTCTCTACTAAAAATACAAAAAATTAGCTGGGCATGGTGGCACGTGCCTGTAATCACAGCTACTCAGGAGGCTGAGGCAGGAGAATTGCCTGAACCCAGGAGGCGGAGGTTGTGGTGAGCCGAGATCGCCCCATTGCACTCCAGCCTGGGTAAGGAGCGAAACTCCGTCTCAAAAAAAAAACGGCTAAAATAGAAAAGATTGACTGAGTGTCAGTAATGATGTAGAGCAACTGGAACTTTTATAAAATCTACTGAGATTTGTGTTAATTGTTAAACCATTTTAGATAACTCTTTGGCAATGTCTACGGGGCATCAGCACATGTATAACTTATGGTCTAGCAGTTTCATCAAAAGACATGTACAGGAATATTTATAGCAACCTTATTCATAGCAGCCAAAACAAAGTAATCCAAATGTTCATTAGCAGTAGAATGCATAAATAAATGCTGATACAGTCAATCAGTTGGATACTACACAGCAATGAAAATGAACAAACTGCTGCGATAAGCAATGAATAATCTCACAACAGTGTCGGGCAAAAGACAAACACAAAAGAATACATACTATCTGATTTCATTTATATGCAATTCAAGCAGTCAAACTATCAGTAGTATTACAAGTCAAATTAGTGATATCCTGTATAGGAAAGGGTAGTGATTGTGAGGGGCAAGAAAGGGGTTTCTGGAATAACGGTGATTTTTTTTTCTGGACTTGGGGGTATAGGGATTAATAGATTTTGTGATAATTCAATAAGTTGTGCACTTTCATTTTGTATGTTACAGTTTTTTTTAAGTGGCTACTAATAGAAAATAAAATCTTTACAATTTAAAAAATCCTTGATATTTTTGTCATGCACAGCACTTGTAATCGAAAATACACTAATACCTGTGTTCCCCAAAGTGAGAGACCCCAAATGATAGAATACTGAATTTCAGCCAACCATGGCACAATGGTGAAACAAAACAACTGTAGCTAAATAAAAGTAAAACTAAAATTTCTTGATCAAAAATATTCAAGTGGTAATAAACTTTATAAAAATAAAATAAGTTTAGCTATTTTAGCAAACTGGATTTTGGTGAATTGACCTGGCTCATCAGAAAAGGAAATTTTTTAATATAAAATTGTTTTGTGTAATAAGAATGTTATCGTAGTTTGTGAATGGTAACAGTAAATATTGTACAGTTTCCTATTGCATAGTATTATCATTAACATTACATAAAATAAATAGATTTATTTCTAGGTTCTAATAATTTTCTTACCAAATAAATTAGTGCTGCATATGAAGCATATATTATGCTAGTTAAAGCTGTCTTTGCTGGAAAGGAGATGATTTCAAACAAAGAACCCTTTCTGACCTGGAAAAACAGAAAAGATTTTCTATTAAAGTTTTCAATGTTTCAATGTCATATTGTACAATGTTACCGTAAAATGATAGTTTATTTTTTTCTAAAGAAAGTCATCTACTTTAGAGATACCTGCACTTTTCACATTGTGAAAATTGTTTACTTTTCCTTTTTTATCAAGAAGACATTTACTTGTGCTAATCAAAACCTGTGACAAATCTATAAAAACCTTGCATTTCTGCGATCTACTTGACTTTAACTTTTCACAATTACCAACTGTGCACACTGGGAGGTGCTGCTGTGCATATTAGAAAAACAGTCTTTCCTTTGTTCAAATTCATGTAATCATTCTTTATGAATTATTCACAACCTCAATTAGGTAAACAGCAATCAAAATAATAAGCTTTTCCTAGAGATTAATGACCTGCTTGGAAATGTTAATCATGAGACTGCTGAAGGCCAGCATTAACCTTAGATGATCATTAAGCTTCGGAAATGTTCTCTGTGCATATCCAACAGGCTCTCATGAAACACAGAGCAGTTTACACCAATAATGAAGTTGCTCTCCTGTGTTTCCAGTTTCTGGCAGTAGGTGTACCAACCTCAAACAGATCAGGTTAACAAATTCAGTTTATACTGTCTGATGGGAGGCCAAGGTGGGTGGATCACCTGAAGTCAGGTCCTGTTGAATGTACTTTATAAATATTCATATTTAATTCTTAAACAATCCTATGAAGTTTATATTATTATTATCCTCATTCCACAACTGGAAAACAGAAAAAAGAAAAGTCGAAACTTCCTTATGGTAACATAGCTGGTAAGTAGCAAAATAAGATTTAAACTGAGAATCATACTACAGGGCCCAAGCTGTTACCCTAATCATTAAATTACTCTGCCTTAGGATACACTGCTTATGAAGAATGGTAAAGGAATGCAGTACAGGGATGGACTCTGGAATAAACAGATGTAGTTCATCTCTGGCCTCTGGCCCCAGAGTTCTTGAGTAATGAAATCATGAACAAATTAATTCTTCCCTCTAAGTTTGGTTCCCTTATCTCCAAATTGAGAATAATAGCTAATGTTCATCTCATAGATTTGCTGTGAAGATTAATAAGAAAATGCTCGTAAAGTTTTTAGCAGAATGTCTGTGCATGGGTAGCATTAGGGGACATTAATAGTACCTCATGATACTTGAGAAAGATCAAGGTTCAAAATAGTAAGCATAACAAGTATGATTGATTCCATTTAAATAACATACAAAAACAAGCCAAACTAATCTTTGCTGCTGGAAGGAAAGGAAACAATTATCCTAGCAAGGGTGGGGGGGAATTAGTGACTGTAAGGCAGCATGAGAAGATTTCTTGAGTGCTGCTTACCAAGATATGTTCAATTTATGAAAATTCATGGAGCTACACTCTTCTGTATACTTCAATTGAAAAGTTTAAAAATTCTATGTCCAATGTTTTTATGATTAAAAGTAACATAATTAACATTGCATAGAAAAACTTTGGACAGAAATTCACCCAAATTTTAACTGCTGTTATGATTTAGTAATGTGGCTTTGTATAGTTAACATTTGTAGAACACTCATTACATGCTAGGTTCTATTCTAATGGCTTTCCTTGCATTGTCTCATTTTATCCTCTAAAAAAACCTATGAAATAGGAACACAGGTTCAGAGAGATTCAATTCTTTCTTGTTTTCTGTATTTTCCATGTTAAGTTGAAAGCACATATGGTATTTTTGTAAATGAAATTATTAAAATACGTGTGCTTCCTGTTCTAGTATGCTCAGTGTTTGCTTAGTGCTGCCACTACTGAATGCAGAACAAAATTGCCCACTGCAATTTCCTTTTTCCCTCTTAAGTGATTTACAGAACAAGGAAACCAAGAATAGTATCTAGCTTAGTAGCTAAAAGGGGGATGGGATTACTAGGGGTTGGGAAAAGGCTGTTTCTTTCTTCCTCCTTTCTCTTTGGGCCATAGTAACTCCTAGACGGATAGGTAGGGAAAGTTTCTCCCCACTCCCTACACAGGTCACCTGCAGCATTTCCCAGAATTCCTGGCTTCAATAAAGAGTTTCCAGGAAGTGAAGCAGCTGCTGCTTTTTCTCTCTTGCTAGAAGAATCAAATTGATAGCATGCCTTTAAATCCCACTTTTTGGCTACATGGAGACAAACATACAAGTAGAGAGCAGGCTCTCTAGGAGGAAGAAAGGCAGATCTACCTCCTAGCAGACTGAAAAGGTTCTTCAGTTTGTGAATATATGAATTCATAGGGGGAGGTCCACGTTCAATAATTGGTAGGTCATATACAATAGAAATAAAAGTGGTGTTGTATGAGTTCGTTCTGTGTCCCTACCAAACCTCATGTTGAAATGTAATACCAAGTATTGGCATTGGGGCCTGGTGGGAGGTGACTGGATCATGGGGGTAGTTTCTCATGGTTTAACACCATGCCCCTTGGAGCTGTCGTCATGATAGTGAGTTCTCCTGAGATCTGGTTGTATAAAAGTGTGTGGCTTCTCCCACCTCTCTCTCTTCCTCCTTTTCCAGCCATGTGAAGTGCTGGTTTCCCCTTTGCCTTCTGCCATGATTGTAAGTTCCCTGAGGCCTCCCCAGAAGCTGATGCTGCCGTGCTTCCTGTACAGCCTGCAGAACCACAAGCCAGTTAAACCTCTTTTCTTTACAAATTACCCAGACTCAGGCATTTCTTTATAGAAGTGCAAGAATGGACTAATACAGACATCTACATGAGAAATTATTCTTTCCGTTTTATTACATCTTTCTCAGGTTTTGTCCTTCACCTAAAAGTAATTAAAGCCGATTAGTTTCAAAATAAATTATGTATTTGATTTATGGTATGCTTCTGAATAGTTAATCTTTATATTGTTTAAGGGTCATTTTTATTATTTTAATGCTTTTAACAAATACTTTTGATTCCTGTAACAAGTAATCCCTACAGAAAATATATTTCCTCCAAAATATATGTGACTACTGGCAAGTAGCCATTTTTCAACTTTATGACTCACTTATAAAACATGTTTTTCATATTATAAACCATGTTGTTTCATTTTTGTCTTGCTTTGAGCAGGAATAGTGTATGGTAAAAGCTAAGATAAAAAGCAGGAAAAATTTGGTAAGTGGCAATCTTTAAATGATCTCGGCCTATTTCTAAATTTTTATCTCAACCTCAGTATATTAATTTTACTTTATTTGCATATTTGAGTTAAAAAATATCTTGGTATCAATGTTATGTTCATATATTTCTTTGTGAATTTGGTCACGGAAAATATGTAAAATATATGGATATTTGAGCAGTAAAAACATTTTGAACCTTTAACTCAACTTTTTCCACATCATTTTGACTGCCTTATCTCATGAAAGTATGTGTGTTCATCTCATTTTCACTGTTAAGATAAATCACACAAAAAAGCCACAGTGAGCAGTTTAGAAAATAAAGATTCATTTATACATGATCTGAAGGTTAGAGAATTACCAGGCCCCACAAAGTTCACATTGTCCAAAACCACCCTGATGATAGTTACAAGGGGTGTCATAGGGGAAATTCTAACTCTCAAATGTTGCAGGAAACAGTGACTTGCTTATAGAGAGGTCCAGGAAAAAAAAGTATTTCTGTAAGTTTGGAAAAGCTACACAACTGTGTTTTTGCTTAGCAACTCACAACACCCTTGGATACAGGAAAGACTCCTGACTTTAAAGAGAGCTACCTGGACTTTATTAACCCCAGTGTTCTACATTCTGTAGAACACTGTTGTTAAACAAGCTTTTAATCCAGTGGTCCTGTAAAGGCTCAAATGTCCTAATCCCTTTGCCAATTTGGAGGAGTCTTTAAGAGCCCAGGAATTCTACTATCTAGAAAATATCCTCTTTCCCCAGGTCTAGATTATACCAGCCAAGTTAGCCTCATGGCAGGCCCATGTAGGAACAACAGAACTTCCTGATATTTATGAGGTCATAGTTTAAACCCCAACTGGGAGTCTAACTTAAGAGGGTGGGGTGAGGAAGAAACTTTAAGTAGGTAAGCTTCTGATCCTTATCCTGAAAAGGACACAAGTTCACTGGGATCCACCCACAGCCCAGGCATTGTAGAGGCTGAGGATTTTCTTCACTTTTGTCCCTATCTTATCCTATACCATGTGACGGTACTTATATAAAGTAGAAACAGTCGACTCTAATGCCATTATAGGGATGAGTCTATCACGGGACGAGCTCCTTGACCTGTGGCCCTGCATTGGCCTGCCAGAATCAACAACGATGTCTCGGAGCTGACGTGGCTTGGCTGAAGTCAGCATTCAAGGCGATTATCTAGGTCACTGCAGCCTAGAGCAGCTGTGGGCTCCACTCAGGCAGGCAGCTCACAAGGCTGAGCAGATGCACCATTCTGTAAGTACTGGCACTGGAGATGGTGAAACCTACCAGGAAATTCTCTAAGAATTTTCCACTCCCAACGCTTTTTATAGAACTAGCCACAGTTCTATCACTGCAGTCTCAGTCCTGCAGAAACTGGAGGGGTTTGAGCAATAATTTTACTCAGGGTCCATAGAGCCAGGTGCAAAAGAAGCCTTTTCTAACAAGGTGGCCAGCTGGAAAGGCTTAACCCCAACTGTCTGTGCCATCACAGGCCATTAGAATCGCTTTAGGCCACTCTTGTTGGTTAGATTTTTGGGAGGCTTCTATTTGGCACAACCTTTCAATATGCTATGACATATTAAAAGAGAACTGAACTTCCAATCAGAAAGGCCCTGGTGGATGGTAGAGGGAGCTCCTGAGCCAGTGTCCATTCTCTGATTACCCTGAGGAAACCATTACTGTGTGCTGCATCTCAGAACTCCCCATGTCAACGGGCTAAAACACTATTCTAGTTATTGTTTGTGTCCTAATGAAAATGTTCCTCTATTTCTGTGTTTCCAAAGGAAGTCACCTGCCTCACTGGTATTCTTAGCCATATAATAGAGAGTTTTGGTAGAGCTACTTACTCCAGCTACAAATGCAATTTTTCATCATTTGTCATCCACAAATCAGTGACCAGACAGAGCACATCCAGATCTTTGAAACATACCTTCAGATAAGTTAACCAGGCCACTTACCTTCTTACAGCTAAGTTTTCCTAAGGTGATACCTTTCATGCATTCACAAAGCATATCCCCCCTTCCATAGTCCTTCCAGATTTTACCTATTTTACTTCCCCACACAAAGCTTCATCTGAGACAGGCAGTTTGACAATTCTTAAGGGAATTCATGCTGGAATCCACTCTGGGTAAGCTGAACTCTGTCTGATGTGGCTTCTCCATACTACAGAACTTTCCTCTCAGCACACTCTGGTACCATGGATACACTCCATTTACAGACCAATCCATTGACCTCTGCCACACCTCATATGTTCCTGTTGTACCTTTGACTCTCCAGGCCATTGTCCTCATAGTCAGTTCTATTTCTGTCCTCACTGAGCCTTGGAGATTTGAGACACATTGTTTACTACAACTTAGTTTTCCCTCACTGGCAATTCTGATTCTCAACTCTAGCTACTGTATATTACCCATGTAAAGCTTATTCCCAACCCACAGCCCTCAAGGACCTTGGAACCTCTGACCTGGGACTGTTCCCACTTGTCTCACTCCAGCCATATAGAACAACTTATGTTCTCTAACTAACTCATGTTCTCTCTCACCTCAGTATCTTCATATATACTGTTCTTTTCTTGAAATGATTCTCCTACCTCTCATCTGGCTAATTCTTACTCCTTCAAGACTCAGATACAGTATCCTATCTCTAGAATGTCCACATGGACCACTCTTTGGAATGATAGGCCCCTTCTGGAGGCTTCCATAGTGCATTCTGCATACTTTGATCTTGCACTTGCTACATCCTACTGACGTCATTTGCTTATTTATCTGTGAGCCCCACAGACCACAGGGCAAGGGTGAGACATCTCTGAGTCCCTGGTACCTAAACTGGTGATTTTGCATATCAGGTTTCCAATAAATTTTTTTTTGGAGATGGAGTTTTGCTCTCATTGCCCAGGCTGGAGTGCAGTGGTACAATCTTGGCTCACTGCAACCTCTGCCTCCCAGGTTCAAGAGATTCTCCTGCTTCAGCTCCTGAGTAGCTGCGATTACAGGCACCTGCCACCATACCCAGCTGATGTTTGTATTTTTAGTAGAGATTGGGTTTCACCATATTGGCCAGGCTGGTCTAGAACTCCTGACCTCAGGTGATCCACTGCCTCGACCTCCCAAAGTTTTGGGATTACAGGCATCAGCCACCGCACTCGGCCACTATTTGTTGAATAAATCAAAAAGTAGAACTGTACGTCACTTCCAACAAATTTAATCATCTTAAATCTTGGAAGATATTAAGAAGTAAAGCTGAAGGACATCTGGTTCCACAAACATGGCAGACTGAACTAATGTGGAGCATCTCACACAAAAACACCTAGAAACACTATAAAAATGAAACTCAAAAGATAGAATACAAGACCGAGTTTACAAAAAAGAAAGAGACCTTTCCTCCCACCCCCAGAGCCAGGAACAAAGAGGGAACTAAAGCCAGAGCAGCAAATATATGAGCTTATATTCCAGGAACTCTGGAGATGGTGCTGGACCCTAAAATAATGGTTGGGTGCTTGAGTAATAATACAGAGACTGGATATGAGACTTGGTTAGATGTGAGGTGGGGATCAAGCCTTTGCAGAGCTTCAATTTCAGTGAAATTGGGATTCAAATAATTGTATCCACCAGTACAGGAAGTAAAAAAGCTGGTCTCTATGCGGGGCTCCCATGAGAGATTAAAATTCCAAGCTTGTCCCTTATAAGAGATCTGAATTTACCTTATCAGTGTGACGCAGGGAATCCTAAGCTGAAAACAACATAAAGATTGGTCTCAGGTTGCTGGTACTCCTGGAGCAACAAGCACAATTTCTCTAGAGGGACAGTTTTACCACCAAGGCCAAAAGGGATTTAAAAACAAAAACAAAAAACTCTGATGTTTTCTCTTTTTCTTTTCACGTTTCAGTTAAAATAAAATTATAAGAAAATTATCTATAAGTGAGAAGCAATATAGATCACAATAGTCAGAAAAATTAGCACCTCCAAATACATCAAGGACAATCATTAAAAAGACCATACATACATATGTTTAAAATAATTAAAGAAAGCAAGAAATTTGGGGAAAGAAACATTAATATATGCATACAAATGTAGAGAAAATATAAAAGTATGCATGTAACTTCAGAAAAATGATTACCTCTGGAAGAGAAGAAAGGAGAAGGAATTGGGGCGTGGTTCATTATGTTTTGTTTTACAGTGGAGAGATCTGAAGGCAATATAGCAAAATATTACTACTAGTTTAAATTCAAGTGAGACTTCTAATCAATTAACTTCTATACATTTTGAATATTACTTTGATAAGAATTTGAAAAATTAAAGCTAGAACATAAGACAATTAGAATAAGGGCAAAGAAGAAGAGATTTCATAGTCATGGATTTTAAATAATTTCAGAAAAGAGAGTCACAGTTAACACACGGACCTCGTGCATGTCACTTAGTTCCTAAGCCTGTTTATCTTAAGTTTCTGGAATAAGTTATCACATTTGATCTCTAAATTTGCCTCAGAAACTCATTATCAGTCAAAGTAAAAAGGCAAACATATTGTGTCTTTTGGATCTCATTACTGGATAAAAAACATGCAAATTCAGCTGGAAAGATAGTTTTTTTCTTGCCACTGAATTTTCATGAGTGTTGGGAGATATGTCTACATGGATTTCTCTCATTCCTGTGCAGATTGGCCCTTCTGAGCAAAGGACATGTTTGAATAGCAAACAGCCTTGCAAAGTAGAAAAAGTATATCCCTCTAGAGAGATCTAGAGAATTACCTCCCCGAACATGTCACAGGGCACTAAAGATAAAGCCCTCTCCTTTTTCCCTGAAACATGTACTTATATTCCCGGATAATGAATAATTAATCTCAATCTCATTCTCCCTCTCTGTCTCTCTATCTGTATAACTTTTTGGAGAGGAGGCTAGGGAGATGTGCCAGTGTCCCTATATAGAGCTCAGAGTCTCCTGATTTCAAGGTTCCTCTCTCCTGTGATGCAACGTACTGTGTGCACAGGTAACATTTGGCCTGCATCACACTGTCCTAAGGAATGTAAGCATAGGGAACCAACACCAGATACCACTCTGCCTAATGCTTTTGCTGTGAATAATAAACTATGTGTTCGTGACCCAAGGCTCGAGTGTGTGTGTGTGTGTGTGTGTGTGTGTATACATACCCATATGTGTGTGTACAACTGTGGCAGGCTAATTTGTTAGCTTATAGGTAGTGTAAGATCTCAAATCCTTCACAATTCTGACTTAGCAGAGAATCAAAAAGGAAGACCCTAAATAGAATAATGACCAGTGTTTTTAAGCATGATTTCATATTAAATACAGAAATATTCTTCAAAAGACATTTCTTCTCCAATTCTTATAAAAACTATAGGTTTGTCAATGCAAGGAAAGAAACATCAAAATATTAGATTTAGAAAGATATTTCAGTGGGGATTTAAGATAATATTTTTTTTTCTTTTTCTTTTTTTTGAGATAAAGTCTTGCTCTGTTGCCCAAACTAGAGTGCAGTGGTGCAATCTTGACTCACTGCAACCTCTGCCTCCTAGGTTCAAGTGATTCTCCTGCCTCTCCTATAGCTGAGACTACAGGTACACCACCATGCTGGCTAATTTTGTATTTTCAGTAGAGACGGGGTGTCGCCATGCTGGCCGGGCTAGTCTCAAACTCCGGATCTCAAATGATCCACCCGCCTCAGCCTCCCAAAGAGCTGGAATTACAGACATGAGCCACAGCTATGTTTCTTTTTAATGATCTAAAGATACAGGAATAAGGCTTGTAGTTCATAAAGAATCCAGTGGTTAGCAAACACAAACCATTTTTTACTTTCTCAGACATCAGAAATTATAAAAGAGCCTTTTATAAATGCTGCTTTCAGGCAATTTGTAGCTGAAATATATGATGCTTTCTAGAAATGGCAAAATCTTTGATTAAAGAGAGACTCCTACATGAAGGGTACTTGTTGATTTTAGCCAACCAGCATCCATTTTCTTATCATCTTAGAGCAACCCAGATTTTTGTTTGCGGATTCCCCCATTCCACACCACTCTCAGTTCATGTGATCTGGACGGGGCTGCAACCCCAGCTCTAGGTATAAGCAAGTAATCAAATTGCAGGCCAATCAGTGCATCTTGTGTCCTTGATTTAGAGGTAAGCATTGAGAACATAAGCTGTGTTCTTGGAATGAACCTGGAGACTTTGCCAGGGATGAGGGGTCAGAGGTTTTCACTCTCTCTCTTTTTTTTTCTGCTGGAATTGAACCTGGGAGAATATCGCCAAGGAACAGCTGCAAATTATCTTGCAACTTTGAGGGGAAAGCCAGCCTAATAATGGCTTCAAGAGAGAAAGCAGAACCAAGAACCGAGCAAAAGCGAGAAAGGATCCGGAAGGTCTCGTTTGAATACTAGCATCCAGCTATGTCGGGAATCCTAACAGCTCTGGATTGTTTATGAAAGCTAATTCATCTTTTTTTTTGTTTAATTCAATTTGAGCCTCATTTTCTTCTCCTTCAACAAAGAGTTCAAATTAATTCATCCTGGAGTTTACATGCCAGACTTGCAAAATTCTGAATCTTTTGTAGTGAAATTTAGGATGACCACATTGAAAAACTCAAAGTTTAGAAAACAAAAAATTGGTTCCAAAAAAGTTTCTTAAGAGTTGTTATCCTCGACAAAATATAACAGAGCCTCAATAAGACAATGTAGAAAATATAATTTGAATTTATAGGTAAATATACTCAATATACTATGGCAAACAAAAGTTATCTTGGAAACATAACAAAGTTATGAGAAAAAAATACAATTTTTAAGGCTAGTTGGATTTCTGTTAGATTTAATGTAAATGGTAATTTGCATGTATATATTTAAGTTGCACCATTTGAAATGGACAGTTTCATACAGTTCAATTAAACAGTAAGGTAGAAGAAAATCCACATTGCTTTTCCTTTCAAACCTATTTAAACCAAAGATTACACTATATTTTAAAAAGGCCCAACCATTCATTTTTCTTATCCTAGTATATTTGTTTTACACATAGGAAATCAAGTTCACTACATTTTACTTTTCAAATTTTGCAAATTCAAAATCGTTTATTTAAAAGGGGTCCTTGTGCATATGCAGTATTCCCTTACCTGCATGTTACATAGGTATTGCCTTGGCGCGTTAACTTCCCTCAGCAGATGAGCAGATATATGCCTTAGCTCTAAAAGTCTGCATGCAAGCCGAGGATGCAGAAGTTTGGCCACTGATTTGGAGGATCTGGATATGCTGTTTAATCCTCGAATTAATGTTTCTCGATTAATCTTGGCTAAAGCAATAGCCATCCCGATTTTGGATGTTTTCTGCGCAGGTTCTCTTTTCTGAAAAATAGGCCTTTGAAAAGTAACTGATGTGTAATTATCCAAAGCATTATCAAAGTTACTTCTGGCAGAGACTGACTACTGCATAACTACATTGTGCATAGTATCCTGTGTATATTCAATGTCCAATAATTCTATCCCCCCACGAAACCCATTGAATTCCCTGACATGTACTTAAATCTTTTTTTATTTTTATTTTGGTAATGGTGTTTCATTCTTGTGGCCCAAGTAGTGTAATGGCACAATTTCAGCTCATTGCAACCTCTGCCTCCCAGGTTCAAGCGATTCTTCTGCCTCAGCCTCCCAAGTAACTGGGATTACAAGTGAGCACCACCATGCCTGGCTAATTTTTTGTATTTTTAGTAGAGATGGGGTTTCACCATGCTGACCAGGCTGATCTCGAACTCCTGACCTCGGCCTCCCAAAGTGCTGGGATTAAAGGTGTGAGCCACCATACCCAGTCCTTAAATCTTTATATATATACAATATATATATATACATACATACACACACACACACACACACACACACACATATATATGTATATGTATCTTTTCCCTTGGAATAAATATCAAGAATTGAAGTAACCAGCCAAAAGATACAAATATTTCATTTTCCTCCTAGATTTATATATTTTGTGCACTGAATTTTTACTTGTTTTAATTTTTTTTTATTTCAATAGGTTTTTGGGGAACAGGTGGTGTTTGGCTACATGAATACATTCTTTTGTGGTAATTTCTTAGATTTTGCTGCGCCCATCAACCGAGCAGTGTGCACTGCACCCAATGCACACTGAATTTTTAAAAAGCTCTTCCAAAAGTAAACAAGAATTCTTCCTAACTGCTTTCTCCATTTGAGCTCTACTCGTTAAATACGTACCTTCCTTTTCTTTTTTTATTTTCTTTTTGCTAAAACCATGCCCATTTCTTTGTCAATGACAATTATAGTGCTGAACTTTAGTATTCTGTATCTATTAAACTAGCTTGCCAGAAATCTTACTAAATTCTTTATCTACCTTGTACCAGAGTTTGACCACTTCTCATCACCCCCAGTACAGACCCAGTCTATTATGTTTGAATTCTACCATCACTCTTTCCCAGATCAGTGAATTCGCCTCCTAAGTGGTTTCTCTGCTTCCACCCTTGCCTGCTGCCATTCTGTTTATCAGTACACCAGCCAGAGACACCTAATTAAGACTTGTGTCGGATCATATTTTCCTTCTACTCAGCTGTTTCAGTGGCTTCCAGTTGCTCTCAGTGTAAAAGCCCAAGGCCCTACAAAGGTAAAAAAAAGACCTCAGTCTTTTCTTCACCTGTTCAGCCTCATCTTTTTTCTCTTCCCTTCCCTTCTCATTCTTTGTTGAACTTTTCAGGTGTCTGGGATTTTGCACTAGCTCAGCCATTGGATTCCTCAAGCATCCCAAGGTTCACTCCCTCACTTCCTTCACATCTGCATTCAAGAATCGCTTCCTCACTAAGACCTTTTTTGTTCACTCTACCCAAAGCATCAGTTGTGCTTATTATCCCTGCACCTCTATTTTGCATCCCTTCTCTGCTATATTTTTCTTCTCTGTAACACTTAGTGCTAATATACTATATTGTTTATTTTCCTTGTTCATTTTACTTGACTGGGATGTAACTTGTATGACTTGATATATTTTACTTGACTGGGATATAACTTGTATGACAGCAGTGTTTTAAATCCATTTAGCTCCCTTCTTTTTCCCCAGTGCCTAAGCAGTGTCTAGCATGTAATAGGCAGTCTATCTTTGTCAGAATGAATGAATGAAGAGTATCAGAAAATACAACAAATTAATCTTGAAATCAAAGAAATATTCCAACTATTACATTAGAAACCACCCAGAAAGTTTTCAGTACACAACTATATAACTTTCACAATAATGATAATGCTCCACAAGGAACAACTCACCAAAGACAAAAATATAATTGAATTAGAGAGCATTCTAGTGACAGTCCTAGTTTCACTATGTTCAGAAACCTCAATGCCTTTACAGGAAACTTCCAGACATTAATGGTGCCTTCTTAGCAGTTTTTGTCACACATTAACAATAACCAACAACAACAAAAGCATAGAGAATTCAGAAAAGTACGTCTAAGTACGTAAAACTCCAAAATTTTTGGCATGGAATCTAATATGTCTAACTTCCTATTTTGTAGTATGTGGTTAAGTTCAAAATAACAGAAAAAAGATATAATCATCTTTCATATTTAAAAATTCATAAAAATTGGCCCTGTTTATTATAAAATATTTTATCTTATTCCAAGAAAGAGCATCTGAATGAAAAATTTTTAGAAGCCCAATTGTAGTACAGATTCCTTTGTTAAATATAAAGGTTTACAATTTTAAATTCATCATATGGAAATCTTTTGAAATTTGCAAGTGTAAACCTTTAAAAATTACTTTCTATTAAGGAAGTAGATAGTAAGGCTACTGGAATCTGGTCTGAAGGGATGGATAGAACTGGATCTCAGAAGCCATCATTTCAAGACAAGATTCTAAAGTTAACTTTCTGACCAGGGACCATAGCTCACATCTGTAATCCCAGCACTTTGGGAGGCCAAGGCGAGTGGATCACTTGAGGTCAGGAGTTTGAGAACAGCCTGGCCAGCATGGTGAAACTCTGTCTCTACTAAAAATACAAAAATTAGCCGGGCATGGTGGCAGGCACCTGTAGTCCCAACTACTTGGGAGGCTGAGGCAGGAGAATCACTTGAAACTAGGAGGCAGAGGTTGCAGTGATCGGAGATTGTGCCATTGCACTTCAGCCTCTGTGACAGAGCAAGACTCCATCTCAAAATACATTAATTAATTAAATAAAATAAAATTAACTTTCCCAGCCTTAAAAAGAAAATTTCCTTCAAAATTTTTATCCAGGAAGAACAATTTAGTACTCGTTATTCTGATTGTATCCTACATATATTCCGCTACAAAAATTCCATCATCACTCCCATCAAACCTTTTTTTGTTCTAGCCCAGCAAAATGGTCTTTTCCTAAATAAATACATGCCTGATGAGAAGAAGATTTAAATACTAATCACAAAATTTAGAGATTTAAGATACAATCCAATTAATAAAGCCCTCTAAGTATTTTTAAAACCATTCCTTCCACTGTGTTTTTGGGAAGTATGGATCATCCTGGAAATTAAAAAATTTGCAGCACTTACAATCTAACCTTTTAAAAATAATCTGGCTAACAATTGAGTATTAGCAATGTTTTCCACATAATTTATATTTGAAGAGCAAATAACTTCAAATACATGAAAATATACCCTAACTATTCAGGTTTCTTGCCAATCTCATCAACACATTCTTCAAAGGAAATGGTGGGAAAAGAGCAATGTCAAGTGTTTTGAAAATGAGAAACAAAGTAACTAATTAATTTTATGTTCCTCTCTGAGTTGGGCAAAGTTCTATAAGTAAATGACTTCAATTTGTTGGAAATAGGAACTCAGAGCTTTATCTTTTGGGATCACAATATCAATTAATGTCATCATAAACCATGCTTATGGTTCTAGTGATAATGAAGCTATTCAGAAAATAGAAATGAATGAACGAAGTCACCATTTATTTGATTAATTCAAACCCCAGTTTCTCTGATTTCAGCAGTGGTGGGAGAATCAAAACTTGAAAAAGATAATGAGATTTTCCACGCCTGTCTCTGGCTTCCTAGGATTCACCCTGAGGCTTTCTCAATAATTTCTACTGTGATGGTCTGAGCTATTTGACCTTGACCAGACATGTACATCTCTTTCCTTCCTACTCCAGAGCATAGCCAAAAATTGCCTCCAGTGTTTCAAAAGACTTTATACCAAGGCTAGAGGAATGCAAAGAGGGAGAGCAACTGGATGCCAAGTCTAAGATACAGTCTTAGAAAAGCCAGTTTGCCCTCAGAAACTCTTAAGCCTTATCTCTCCTGCTTAGCTGATCTGACCAGCATCTGCATGCCATCTTACCACTGTGCCTGCAGAATCCTACACTTCAGTGTCACCCCTCCTCAAACACTAGACCCAAGAGAGGGCCAGCCAAAGGCAGAAAGCAAAGTGGCTTCCCCTGACAGCCGAAGGCCAACCTTCTGCGTTCTGGTGTCCTGTATCTAATATGCCCACCTCTTCCTGTGATGATTGACACTGGGAATGTCCACTTCCCCCAGGGTTATTGTCTTATAGGCTAAATCAGTATTGTCTTTTATCATACCATCTGGAGTCCATTCTACAAGTCCCAGAACTCTACTATAGCTGAAGGAGTTCAGCAGGTCCTGACAGTTAAAACTCATCTGATTCAATGGTAAAAAGAATGCCTATCAATTAATTTATTTTTAGAAATGTATGGGCTCAGTAATTTGAATCATCTGTGTGTATAACAATTACCTCCTATTCAGATCAAAGAACAGAAAATTATTTTTGCTAAACAAGAGTTTAAGTACACAGCCAGCATTATTGGTGAATGAGGGGTTCCACATAAGTACATTTTCTGGGTAACTGAAATTTTACCCACTTAGTGTTGGCTAAATTTTTACTGACATGAAAAGTAACTTTCAAAAATGTACCTCATCCCTGACATCTTTGAGGATTCTGACTGCTGCTAATCCATCTCTCCTTTTTCTCTCCACTTCTGTGGCTTTCATAGAATTTCATTCTCTTCATTCTGCTCTTTCCTGATTCCCTGCTAACTGCTTTAAACAATGGCATTGTTGGGGGCTTTATCCTATGCCCTCATGTTACTACACAATCTTCTTGAGCAGTGATGACTGTCATTTAGGTTTAAATGTGCACTACAGTTAGTTAAACACATGGTTTAACTATACACTATAACAACATACTATACACTGATGACTCCCAAATATACATCCTCAGCCTGGGCTTCCCTTGCACTTCCAACCTACATATGCAATTTATAACTCAACTCCAAGGCTTGGACAGGATGTAGCATGATCTCTTACACTGCGATCCAATCAAACTCATTATCTCCAAAGCTGCTCTTCCTCGTCTTGTCTTGGGTCCTAGTTAATAGGATCACTATTCTTCTAGCCACCCAGGAAATCCAGAATCTTCCTCAACCTCTACATATTCTCTCTCATCTCACACTGTCAGTTTCAAAATACGCTTAATATCTCTTGTGTTCAACTCATTCTTTCTATTCCCAGTGTTAATGTCCTTGTTCTTAGCTGTCATTTGCAACAAAATATTCCTGGAAGCTCTGCCTCCATTCAGACTTCATTACCACTAAAGAAGTATTTGCAATGTGCAAACTGAATGTCATTTCCAAGACCAAAACCTTTCTGTGACTGATATCTGTGTTACATATACAGGAAAGTCCAGTCTTTTTCACATGGCATACAAAGACCTCCACATCATAACTCCTGGTTACGTTTCCTATTTTCTACTATTTCCTGCCTCAACCCCTCTATCCCACATGCCTTTAATTTACATTTATTTGACATTTTGGAAACATACTGTGCTGTTTCCTACTTTTGGGCCTAACCCACACTGCCAATGGAATATGCTTCCAGCCCCTACCCACTGTTCCCACCCTTTTCTTTACCTTGAAAACTACTATTCATCCTTTGGAACCCAATTTAAAAGCATCCTTCCTCCATGAAGCCTTTTCTGACTTTCCTTAGAGTCATTGACTCCTCAAAATTAGATATAGAGGTATAACAGTTACCTTATTCTAATGCAATTACTCGTTTACAACTCTATCTCCATTTGATTAAGCTCATTGGCAGAAAGGATCGCGTCTTATTTATCTCTGTATTTCTTCTCTCCAGTCCCAAGCAATAGCGAGGTGTCTAGTAAATGTCTAATGGCGGGTTGTCTGCATGCATGGTTAAAGGTAGCTGTATCACCTCTCCTTTGGAATGAAATGTGTATACTTTGTGATTACTGTGCTACTCAGAGTGCTTTTAGTTAACTTCCAGGTTTTGGCTATGTACCTCATGGTTGACATTGCCAAGAGTCTGACTTCTGGATAAGAGGATTGTTACTGTACCATGTACCCTAACAGCATATTCTATTCCAACTGTGATCAAAATAACTGGACCACATTTTTCCATTAAGGGCTGTGAACCTTTGAGTAAATTAGGTTACATGTGTTCCCTAAACAGATGTTACTTTTTCTTGACTTCATGTCTCTTCAAAATATGTACCTCACTCCTGCTTCACTCCCAATATTTTATATGTTTCAAATCCTTTTTGGAACAGAAGTTTACAAAATATACATGTATACTTTGTTTAAATTGATACCACTGTTTTCTTTCAGTATTAAAACACACATCCATATTGTATTTATCTTTCCATTGTTACAATTTATCCCAAGTTTTTGCACTGATTTAATTAATGTAGGTTTTTGCTGAAGAATATATTAGGTATTTTTCTGATTTTACATTGCAACTGTAGCTATGAGAGATTGCCAGGTTTTTAACCTAATGACATAGTGATTGTCTTTAAACTTAATTCTTGATTTACCTCACTTCTTGGTCCACAATCTCTCTGCTTCCCATAGACCCCTCTTAATGAGTAATATTTGAAATTTGTTTTTCTGAGGCAAAATTAGTATTTTCTTAAGTTTGAGCACTGATCTCAAAATCAAGTATTAAATAATTGGTACAATACTAAAAATAGAATATAATTTTTGTATTCTTTTTGAAGGTTATAAAATCACCTTACCTGATTAGACTGTGATAATCTTAAGATGGTGGGAAATTCATCTTTAAACTCATCTACAAGGTCCATGATTACTTTCTGGATCCCCTCGACTAAGACAAAAAAAGGTTAGAAAAAAAAAAAAAACCTTTGAAAACCTCACCTAAGTGATTCAAAAGAACACGAAACACTGAATCAAATTCCTAAATGACTGGGAAAGTAAAGGAACTCTAGGGGATCTTATTCCCAGTTATTCCCACACCCATACCCCCTTTACAACAAGATTGTGTGTACTTCTTCCAGAAAAGTTCTTCAACACCTGCCCACACATCCAGCCAACAGGTTTGATTGGCATGGTGAGTTCTTGCTTGGGTTCCTAGTGCTGAACAAGCTTGCAGGCCTGGGCAATGCTTGTCCTAGTCTGCCATTAGTGAAGGATGAGTATAGCCTTCCACTTGGGAAAGCCAGCAAAGACAGAACTCACAGCTCAATGCTGGAATTCTTTGTTACTGCACAATAGGCTTCTGAGAACTTACTACAGAATCTTCTGAAACCACTCTGGTGGTGAAAGGAGGAAGAATGTGCTTGGAGCCATAAGGGAAAGAGTGAGGGGATTGAATAATAAAGTATACTGAGGAGTTCTATAAGTTAAAATTTGCCCCAAATTCTGCAGTGATACCACAAATAATGGATCACCTGAGAACAAAGGTCCCTTTGAAAAAAATTGGTATGTGCCTTAAAAGAAAGGCTTTAAAATTTGGCTTTATATGTGATGCCAAATAGAAAAGAAACACCAGCAGTAAATTCAGAAAGACTTCTGAACAGATTGTTTTTGCTTCACCAATGAGGATCAGTAAGTCAAACTCATTATCTGGAGGAAGATAACTAATATAGATTAAAGTCTAAGTACTAGTAACTGTGCTAGGGGCTAAGTTAACATCATTTATCTTTTTTAATTCCCTTAACAACTCTGACGTAGGAATGTTTTGAAAGCACTCTAAAAGTATCAGTATGAATACATTGGTATCATCAATATCAAACGTCAATCCTCAGTAATAGGTTTTTTGTTTGTTTATTTGTTTTGAGACAGAGTCTCACTCTTTCACCCAGGCTGGCGTACAGTGGTGTGATCTTGGCTCACTGCAACCTCTGTCTTCCGGGTTCAAGTGATTCTCCTGCCTCAGCCTTCCAAGTAGCTGGGATTACAGGCGCTAGCCACCACGCCCAGCTAATTTTTAGTAAAGGTGGGGTTTCACCATGTTGGCCAGGCTGGTCTTGAACTCCTGACCTCAAGTGAACCGCCTGCCTCAGCCTCCCAAAGTGCTGGGATTACAGACCTGAGCCACCATGCCTGGCCAATAATAGTTTTTATAGTGATCATTAAAGCAGGGCTATTCTGAATAGTATAGAATGGAACTAATTCAAATACTCAACATTCATCAAATGATTGTTACCTCAAGACTATGGAAAAGTTTCTGTTCATTACATTTGAAAAATGAAAAATTATGTAAAATAATATAGTTTCTAAGCATCCAAGGTTATAGGTATACAAATGAGACTTAGAAAGTAATCTAGTAGTTAAAAAAAAAAAAAACCCAAAAAGCTCCAAGTTAAAAAAAAAAAAAACTAGGAAATATTTCCATAAGATTGTTCACTTATGTCTAATTAATTAAATACCAGGTTTATGTCATGAATTGAAAGTATGATTGTGTACCACTTTGCTTAGAGACTAGTGAAAAGTTTTATATAAATCAATGGAGTGTGCAGACGAAGTCGCAACATCTACTATTAAAGACTCAGGTCCTGATGCTGGAGAACTGAAGGAAAAACCTGATGAAAGCTTACATGAATGAGACTGCAGGACCCTCCTGGGGTGTAACTCAGATCCAATAAGGCATCCCACTCTGACAAATCCAATCTGGTAGCAAGGCCTTAATAATCAGGGGAGAGGCATGACTATGAGCACAGCCCGGTCCCTCAGCTCTATCCTTGAGCCCACATTCCACAGGGATTAGGAGTAGATGGGATGAAAAGATAAGCCTTAAGTAGTCTTCCTAAACTTTCTAAGGCAGTGAGCACAAATTAGCTATACAACTAGGATATTCCTTCCACAGAAAGCAAAACAAAAAAGGGGAAAGAGGCATTCTCTAGGACTTTGCCAAAGATCTCTGGCAATCAAAAATTTCATTGTAAGGGAAGAAAAGACCCAGTTAGAAGACATGCTTGCAGCCACAAAGCATATGAAAAAATGTTCAATATTATTAATAATTAGAGAAATGCAAATCAAAACCACAATGAGATACCAAATAAAGAAAATGTGGTATATACACACCATGGAATACTATGCAGCCATAAAAAAGAATAAGATCATGTTTACTGCAGCAGCATGGATGGAGCTGAAGGCCATTATCCTAAGCAAAATAATTCAGGAACAGAAAACCAAATACTCCATGTTCTCACTTATAAATGAGTGCTAAACAATGAGAATACATAGACACAAACAACACAGGGAACAACAGAGACTGGGGCTTTCTTGAGAGTGAAGGTTGGAAGGAGAAAGAGAATGAGAAAAAATTGGGTACTATGCTTAATACCTGGGTAATGAAATAATCTGTACACCAAACTCCCATGGCATGGGTTTACCTAGATAACAAACCTACACATGAACTGCTAAAATAAAAGTTTTTTTAAAAACAAAACCAAAGAACAGTGTAAAACACTGTAATGTTAAACAGAATTGGAATATCATCGTGATTTTTAAGATTATATTTTTCCTAGATGTATAGGCAGAAATGGCTAGAATCATGGCCAACCCAGTAAAAAGAGCACCCTAGTATCTAAATTCTGGGCTTTAATATCATTTCTCAGTACAATGAAGCAGGACTCCTTAAAGAAATATGTGATTCCAAGTCTGGGGCAGGAGAAGCACAGAGCCAGGGAAATCTTATACTAGAAAGTCGGGATCATTTTGAAGATTAATGGGGTCCTTTTAAAGGGAAACTCAGGCCAGCTTGAAGTGGTTCCTACTGGTCTTAGTTGTGATGATATGGGCTTTGCAATGGGAAAAATTAGCCTGGTGTGGTGTCATGCACTTGTAGTCCTAGCTACTGTGGAAGCTGAGGTGGGAGGAACGCTTGAGCACAGGAAGTTGTGGCTGCAGTGACCCACGCTTGCAGCACTACACTCCAGCTTGGGAAAGAGAGCAAGAAATTGTCTCAAAAAAAAGGCAAATAAATAAGTATTAAATACATTTTAAGTATATTTATACAGTCCATATATATGGTATGTATATGTGCATAAATAAGTTCCAAATATTGTTATGATCTTTAGTTAGAAGTCTTAAATTTATCTACTTAGACTGTAACCTCTGCAGACCATGACTAAAAGTATAGATTTTGTATTTTATTCCTTCAGCCATGGTCTTAGAGTGTATTACTTAATTACCTAGCTACTTAAGCAAATCTCCTTGGCCAAACCAACAATGTTCAAACATAATGAAAAAGAAAACTGGTCATTTTATGTAACTCTACATAATTATAAAAAAGTGTCATATTCACTCAACAGTGCTAAAAATGAAAATGCTAAAGGATACACATCCCACCCTTTCTTTTAACCCAGTGAGTTGATGATGATACCTCTTTAGGAGGGAGCCCGGACATGACATCATTCACTGTGTGAATTTATCTAAAATTTCCATGAAGCTAAATTTATTTTTAACCAATACCAAGCAATTATCTTAGAGATTTCTAAATTACTTCGTACAAAAATAATTCTAACATGTGAAGGATTGAAGAATGTGCCACTTCGACATAAGAATTATTTTGAACTGAAGTCAATTAAAAAGAAACAGACACAAGAACAGCTCTCTGCCCTCCCCTTTCTACCAGGGAGGGCAGGAGTTTGAGACCGGCCTGGACAACATGCTAAAACCCTATCTCTACTACAAATACAAAGATTAGCTGGGTGTGGTGGCATGCACCTGTACTCCCAGCTACTTGGGAGGCTGAGACAGGAAAATTGCTTGAACCCGGGAGGTAGAGGCTGCAGTGAGCAGAGGTCATGTCACTGAACTCCAGTGTGCGAGATAGAGTGAGACCCTGTCTCAAAAACAAACATGTTTACACTCTTATACATTGTGGAGAACCCCCTAATAGTTTCTGTTTATGTGAGCTATATCTATTTACAATTATCTTATTAGAAACAAACACTGAGAAATATACGCAGTATTTGTTAATTCATATGATATGCAGCTTCTTGATGGCCCAATGATCCCTGCCTCCTGGGCTTCGTGCCCTGGTGTAATCCACTTCCCTTGAGTGTAGGCTAGACTTATTCATTCCGTTGAATACAGCAGAAATGATGGAATGTTACTTCAGATAGTGGGTTACAAAAAGGCTGTGGCTTCTGTCTTGCTCTTTCTCTCTCAATCCCCATTTCTCTCTCTGAGGAAACCCAGCTACCATGTTGAGAGTTGTCCTATGGAAAGATCCATGTGGCAAGGAACCAATGTCTCTGGCCAATAGCAGTGAGGACCTGGGTCCTGTTAATAGCCATATAGTGAGTTTAAAAACAGATCCTCACCCAGTGAAGCCTTAAGATGACTGTCACCCCACTGACAATTATAGCTTTGTGAGAGACCCTGAGTCAGAGATACCCAACTAAGCTGCACCTGGACTTCTGACCCACAGAAACACTGAGATAATGAATATCAACTGTTTTAAGCTGCTAAATGTTGGGGTAATTTTTACATAATAAAATAAAACTAATACAATTCATTTAAAATGAACAATAATAACATTTTCTATGAAAAATAACTATCTTCCAAAATAAAAAATGTAGTAAGCTGAGGGGTACTGTTTTCATTTTTGCAGATCTCTTCAATATCTAGTACCATAGGAGACATTTGTTTCCTTATATCTGCTTCTGAATTTAAGCTGTGGTAGTACATTGTTTTGGATGAAATATATGAAGAAAACCATGCTTTACACTGATAAGTAATTGTAAAAGAGAAGAGTATTATAACAGTTTTTCCAGATAGCAGTGGGCATTACGCTTTGATCCTACAGCAGTACTTAACAGATGATGCCTTAGCACAGTGTTTCATGCCTGTAATCCCAGCACTTTGGGAAATCAAGGCAAGAGGATTGCTTGGGGCCAGGAGTTCAAGACAAGCCCAAGCAACATAGCAAGACTCTGTCTCTACAACAAATTTTAAAAATTAGCCTGGTGTGCAGGTGGCTGAGATGGGAACAGCACTGAATCTAGTAGTCCAAAGTTGCAGTAAATTAAGACCTAGGATTGCACCACTCCACTCCAAGCCGGTGGACAGAGAAAGACCCTGCCTCCAAACAAAACAAACAAAAGAAAATGGTAGTTTCTTAAAGACTAGTTGCAACCTAGATACCATATCAATGAACTTTTTATGCTCTGTTATGTTAAAATGTATAGACTTGCACTTTGAATGGCTCATTTACAAATGCATAATTTTATAACATCATTTATTGATTATCTGAATAATATTGGTTCTCTCAAGATCTTTCATTGACATGTTTAGTTTTATAAGCCCCCACAAAAGCCCCAAAACAAAAAACCAATCTTTGCTAATGTCGCCCCTGCTCTTATCAGAAAAGCTTTAAATATTAGAAACCTGTTATATTAGTTATCTATTGTTGCATGGCAAATTACCCCTAACTCAGCAACTTAAAACAATAAACTTTTATTATTTCACAGTTTCTTTGAGTAAGGAATCCAAGAGTGGCTTAGCTAGATGGTTCTGGATTGAAATCATTCAAGAGGTTGCAGTCAAGCTGTTGACTGGGCTGTGGTCATTTTAGGACTCAACTGAAAGATGGTCCAATTCCAAGCTCACTCATGTGCCTTTCGACTGCTTCAGAAGATCTGTTCCCAAGTTCACTTTCATGCTTGCTGGCAAGCCTCAGTTCCTTACCATGTGGCCTCTCCAGAGGCTGCTTGAGTGTGTCCTCAGCTGGCTTCCCTCTCTCAGGGCCACCTCACAACCTGGTGGATTGTCCCATGGTGAGCAGTTCAAAAGAAAGAGGGGTGGTAGGGAAAGAGAAAGAGAGAGGGACATAGAGAGAGAGAGAAAAAGATGGTCCACTCAATATGGGAGCTGCAGTCATTTTATAACTAATCTCAGTACAATAGCTCATCAATTCAGCCATATTCTAGTCATTAGAAAAAATCGACTCCACAACCAAGGGGAGGGAAAGTAACCTCTGCCTCTTGAAGGGAGCTGTATCAAATAATGTATACCTATAGCTACAAAACCACCATAAATTGTCAAGCTCATCATGCCGGATGAAAGTTTTCCCAAGTTCTAATCTTTGCTTTAAAGCTCATTTTATCATTGGCAATAAACATTGTCAGCTGTTTTCCTTGAAATGACAGACTTGCTTCTTTTACAGTTGAGAAAATATCTGCCAAATACCCGGCTCCATATAACCATAGTTGGGTGCTTTTGCCAGTCATTCTTTCAGGTGAAAATGGCATTCCATGAAAAAAAAAAGCAGCTCACAGCTCAATTATAGAAGTGCATTTCCTTGAGGCAATCATGTGTTTCAGTAAGCAGCAGAGTGCCTATGTCTACTTTATATTTAATTACATGGAATGTTAAAATGATGTGTTCCCTGGGGTCACTATTTAATATATGTACTCAAGCTTCTTAAGTAAAACTGATTTCTTCTTTTCTCTTTTGGTACAGACTAGAGTGCTTGGCACTTTCATTTGGGAAAATCACTGTGGGAAGGAGTAAATAAGACAATGCTTCGTGGAAAAAGCTGTGCACTGCGATTAGATGGGAATTACATTTAGAGTGGCAGAGAGTAGGAAACATGAAAGAGGAAAATAAGCAAAAATGGTGGGGCTGGAATAAAATGAGCACATTATGGTCAAGAGTAAAGAGAGGGAAGCCTAAGTTCGCAGCCTGCTGTGGGCTTGATGCAAGCACCTGCGAAGGAGCCAGTCTGAGGTTCTCACAGCAGACTCCTACTGAAGGGGCAGTGTCAGGCAGACTCCTAGAAGCTCAGGGACTAGATTACTACCTGGCCAGAAATGCAGTAGAAGGCTCCCAGAAGGCTTCCAAGAGACAAATAACCTCGGGTTATTTACCATTCCTAAGGGCACTAATGTCAGTCATAACCATGCAGTTAAGTAAGAGCTTTTTCCATGTTACCTTTTCTCCTTCCCTCTTGCAGCATTGAAGAGGCCAAAAGCAGAAACTGATGAGGGAGAATGGGACCTTAGGAGAGGAAAAGCAGCTGAGCAAAGTTCCCTCACTCCTCCACTGTGGACGTCCAAGCCTGGAGCAAAACTCAACTGGGAATGGGAAGAAGTTTTAAATGAAATGAGATTAACATTTGGTTTATCACATTGAACTGGACTCAATTTACAAAAAAAATAAAAGACTATTCATTTATGACCTGAAAGCAACAACAAAATTATTATTATTTACTTATTACACTGAGCTCAATTACTTAAAAAAAAAGAAAAAAGACTATTCATTTATGACCTGAGGGCAACAACAAAACCATAAAATCTCTCTGAGATTTGAAAGGGCTGGGAGTGGAGCGCTGTGAGCTGGAACAAATGGGCAGGCGTGAAGGGCAGTGGGAGCTTTCAGCATGCAGCCTGCTCAGTTCAACTCATTTAATCAAGTGCTTCCAGTATGTGGGATTCATTGAGCTTCTGTTTTTGCCAGGTTGAGTTCTGCTGGGTATATTTTAATGAAGAAACAAAATGAATTTATATTTAGGAGTACAGTGTTTTATAATGATTGTAACCACGCTAACCTGAATTCATATCCTTGCTCTGCTACTTTAAAAAATGTGACACATTGTAAATCTCTTGTACCTTCGGTGTTCTCATCTTTGAAATGGAGATAAATGATGCCTACTTCACAGGGCTGTCATAAAGAGTGAATAAGATAATATATGCACAGTAAGTATTACAGTGCCTGGTATACAGTGGTCCATAGGTAGCATCAAGGATTACGATCATGCTCTTAGTCTGGTAACCTGACCAGCGGGAAACATTGAACAGGAATTAGTGTACTAAATAGACTGAAGATGAATCAAAGCTAAGAGGAGGGAGAAAGATGAGAAACATTTAGCAACAACAACAGCAAAATGCTAACACAATAGCCATAGAAATGGAATAGAAGGGACAGATATAAAGGATATTTGAGAGGAAAAGGGACATAAGAGATAACTGCTTAGACATATATGGTGAATAAAAGTAAAGGAAGAGTCCAAGCAGCTTACATTTTAAAAGCTTGCTTGGGTTGGAAAAGAGTAGAAATAGGAGAAATACAGAAATTGCCAAGAGTGAGCAAGTTTGGTGGGTGAGCATAGTGGAAAGAAATATGGTTTTGTTTTGTTATAAGACTTTGGGACTTTCAAGTACAAATATCTTAAGAATATTTGAAAAGTTATTTATTTTTTATTCATTCATTCATTCGTCTAATATTTCTTGAAAGCCTACTTTGTGACAGACACCACGCAAGGATGTAGCAAGAACAATCTAGTAAACAGTTGGAGTTTGAATGGGACATCTGAGCCAGACAGAAATATCTGGGGCCTTCAACATAGAGCTGGCCCCCAAAACCATGAATATTAATCAGTTTTCTATGAAGAACATCAAGAAAACAACTTCTGAAAATATGAACAGTTAGGGAGTCATGAGGAATGGTCAAAGGGCTGAGAGCTAAAGCAGTGTCTCATGTTGCAATTATTTTTATATTAAATTCTAACCACCGATAGCTTATAAATATTTAATCATATCAATAAAACAATTTCATAGTAGCTATCCATATTTTTAAATTTTTATTATAGAATAATTATAAAATTACAAGGATTTGCAAAAGTAGTAGTGAGTTCCCATTTACCCTTGATGCAGTTTCTCCCAATAACTACATTTTTAAAAAGAAATTTTTTTTAGAGACAGGATTTTACCATGTTGGCCAGGCTGGTCTCGACCTCCTGGCCTCAGTTATCTGCCCACCTCAGCCTCCCAAAGTGCTGGGATTACAGACATGGGCCACCGTGCCTGGCCCCAATAACTACATCTTACATGACAATAATACAATATCAAAACAAGGAACTTGACATTGATATAATCCATTGACTTGATTCAGATTTCACCAGTTTTTCATGTACTAGTGTGTGGTATGTGTATAGTTCTAAGCCATGTTATCACATATACAGATTCCTATAATTTTTCATCTTTATTTCTTAAAATATTTTCCTTTTTCTCACTTCAGTTACTTAGATGAGGTGAAGAATCCACATCATGAGAATTTAAAAAAATAATTTTTGCAGTTTACTGATACTCCTTAATGTTCAAACAGCCCAATATAGCAAAGGCCACAAAGATTTTTAAAGTAGTTAATGAACAAGTAACACTTGCATTTTACACTATTTTATGATGCTTTATCTGTAAAACATTAGTTATGATTTCTAAAGTCCTTTATAACTCTGAAATTCTACAATTCCAGTCTCTTACCTTATCAGGCCAGTGGTCAGTGGGACAGAGTTAATCACTGTCTTATTGCAGTAAAAACATTCTGCTAGATTTAACCAGGTTCCCACAGGAACCTGCTTCTCCAAGAGGGCTTTGTAAACGTTTGATAACAAGAGAATAAGCTAATTAATAGTTTTTCTAACAAAAAAACTATTTTTAAATAAAAGTATTTTATCATATTGTTTTAATAATATTTTAACTAAAACATCTATACTGGTAGCATAGCTCAGTACATTAGTATTGAGCTTCATTCCCAGTCACTTAAATTCAAATCTGTAGTATTCCTATCTTGGCAAGACAAAGAGAAGCATCCTCTGTTCAGGAAGAAAATAGTGTTAAGCTAGTTGTCAAGAAAATCATTTATAAACTAGATTCCCCTCTAAAAGGTCTATAATTCATTTCATGAAAATGGTAAAAGCTTTTGTGCTTAGACAAAATGTTAGAGGATCCCTATAAATAAGATCAGGGTCAGAATAAATATTTGCAGTCTGAGAAAACACCACTTTGTGAAAATTGCCATGAGATGTAGACTGTACAACAGTTACATTTGAAAGCCTGAAAGATTTCATGTTTTACAGATTGATGGCAATACACAGCAATCAAAAAGCTAGATTTCTAATTTAGTAATGTTCTAGAAAAAAACAATAATAGTGGACTAAATCATTTGATGATATTACTTTTACTGAACAACAGTTAACGGAGTATATTGCAATCCTTAAAGGATTGTTCAGTACCTTTTTCCATTTTAAACTGTACTAATACTTCCATTTCATGATACCAAAATTCTCTCAAGGGGAAACTTAACAGCGCATAGTACTTGCTTTCAGTCAACAGAGTCAGTGGAGAAAGAAAAAAAGCTTCCTCACTAAGAGGAGTAAAACATGACACCATAAAACCCAGGTGTTTAAAAAAATTATGGCAAAACCACAACACACACACACAAACACACACACACAAAATTTTTCACGCTACTTTCAAATTTTTGGCAGAGACCCACAGCGCATCCCGGGGCTCAAAAAGTAGTTTGTACTCCTATTTAAAAATACGTATCCAATTTGGAAATATCCATCAAGGGATAGAATTCACATAGAGATCATTTGCACAGCACTTCCAGGCACAACTTTGGGAAAGAGGCCTGAGTGTCCCCAAATTACAGATGCTCAGAAGCATCAAGTGACTTTTCCCTATCAGTCAGCTGCCCAGGGGCAGGAAGAAAATAAAAACCAAGTTTGTCTAACTCAAAAATTTGCTGCTCTTAGATATATTCTACACTACCATCTACGAGTCATTGGTGTATATTTAAATAGTCAGAGGCCAGGTGCAGTGGCTCACACCTGTAATGCCAGCACTTTTGGAGGTCAAGGCAGGACCACCACTTGAGACCAGGAGCTCCAGACAAGCCTGGGCGACATAGCAAGACCCCAGCCCTACAAAAAAAATTGTTTTCTAAATCAGCTGGGCATGATGACACACACCTACAGTCCTAGCGACTTGGGAAGTTTAAGAAAGAGGTTTGCTTGTGCCCATGTGTTTGAGGCTGCAGTGAGCAATGATTGCACCACTACACTCCAGCCTGGGTGACAGAGCAAGACTCTATTTCAAAAACATAAACAGAGCATAAACTCCACTGAGGAACACTCAGCACGTCACTCCTGTATTTTGCATTTACTTCATTTCTTTCTTGAAAATTTGCTATAAAGTGCCATTTGCATTAAATCAGAACCCTTTTTCATTTGACTAAGTCTAACTGTATGTTTGAGTATTATTTTTTCTGTTCTTTTGGTAAAGGAAAGTTTAAATATTAACAGGGGAAAACAGTATTTGGAACATATTTAACAAAGAGCTAAAGTTCTCACTTCACATGTAATTAATAAATAAGTACAAAAACATGCGAAATAAAGGAAAATGGCAAAGAACTTATACAGACAATCACAAAGTATTTATCTGTTTCTTTAACAGATATTTTCTGAATGTCTACCATGTACTCTATACTGTGCTATGTATTAGGGATACAATGAAAAATTATTGACTTCATGCTACATTGTTTAAAAAATGGGTTATTGGGTCCAGGCATGGTGATTCATGCCTGTAATCCCAGCACTTTGGGAGACCGAGGTGGGTGAATCACTTGAGGTCATGAGTTCGACACCAGCCTGGCCAAAATGGTGAAACCTCATCTCCACTAAAAATACAGAAATTAGCTGGGCATGGTGGTACATGCCAGTGGTCCCAACTACTTGGGAGGCTGGGGCAGGAGAATTGCTTTAACTCAGAAGGTGGAGGTTGCAGTGGGCCAAGACTGCACCACTGCACTCCAGCCTGGGCAACCAGAGGGATAGCCCATCTCAATTAAAAAAAAAAAGTTAAAAAAATTCCATTTTCCAAAAATATGTATGCATATATTCATAAAAATATCTGGAAGGATATATATAATATATTCATAAAATTATCTGGAAAGCTGTATGTCAAGTGATTATCAATGGGTGGTAGATTTGTTTATTTGAAACAAAATAATAAACATGTATTTCTTTTATAATAAAATAATTTCATAAAAATTAAAAAGCTATAGACATGTAATCACTCAATTATTTTACATATTGTTCAGAGTTTTTGGTAATAAAAATATATTTCTCTTTTCTTACACAATGGAAGATAGACTCCAATAGAAATGGACTTCTTCCTTCTTTTTATACCACTGTCACCCCACTTCCTGTATTCTACTCTCAAGACACAACACACACAAACGCTGACAAATGTGCATGCAGATACACAAATACAGACAGAAGACTGTCTCCCTCACAGTGCATGCGCACACACACACATTCACAGAGAGAGAGAGAGAGAGAGAGAGAGAGAGAGAGAGAGAGAGAGAGAGAGAGAAAGATACAGAGTCTCACGTTGATATAAGTGAAAAAAAGAGTTTGGCAGAGATCTGATGGTTTTAATCTTGGAAATAGTTTTCATTATTCTCTGCATTTCTCTACGTTTTTCTTTCATTTGCAATCCCTGAATGCAATATTTTTCAGGTTTGTGTATTATAAAATGTATACATTCTTCCACTGGAAAAATAGCACTCTGTCTGACCCTTCTGTTTGTTTTTATGCCTAAATAAACTATTCTACTAGCTCTGGGTATTAGACAGTCTAAGGACATGTGGCAGACACATGACTGTGTCTAAGGAGATGGCAAATCTTTCTGTGGGATCAAAACAGATTAATATGCAATAGTTGATGGGAGGTAGTAATTTTTTCCACTTAACTTTAAAAATTATTTTATTTAGACTCATGTATAGAATGTTCTATGTCAACCTATATAAAAATAGTTTTAAATAAAATATAGGTCTCCTTTAACTAATTCATAAAGTATCCATTAAAGAGATAAAACCAGCCCTTTAATATGTTTCATATAAATATATTACCTTAGTCCATTTTTGCTGCTATAACATGGTACCTGAGACTGGGTTATTTATAAAGAACAGAAATTTATTTCTCACAGTTTTGAAGGCTGGGAAGTCCAAGACTGAGGCACTGGCATTTGGTGAGGATCAGTCTCCACTTCCAAGATGGTGCTTTATTGCTGCATCCTCTGGAAGGGAAGAATGCTGTGCCCTCAGATGGTGGAAGAGACAGAAGGCCGAGAGAGTGTACCCTTTAAACTTGAGCATTTTTATAGGGGTATTAATCTCATATATAAGGATAGAGTGCTTTTTTAAAAAATTTTTTTGGAGACAGAGTCTCTCTCTGTCACCCATGCTAGAGTACAAATGGCAACATCTCAGCTTACTGCAGCATCACCCTCCCAGGATCAAGTGAGCCTCCCACCTTCACTTCCCGAGTAGTGGGACTACAGGCGCACACCACCACACCTGGTTTTTCGTTATCTGTGGGGGTTTTTTGTGTTTTCTTGAAGAGAGAGGATTTTGCCATGTTGCCCAAGCTGGTCTCAAGCTCCTGGGCTCAAGGATTCTCCCACCTCAGCCTCCTAAAGTGCTGGGATTACAGGTGTGGGCCACCATGCCCAGCCAGGATGGAGTACTTAAGACTTAATCACCTGCCAAAGGCCACATCCCTTAATGTGGTTGCATTGGGGATAAAGTTTCAACATGAATTTTAGAGAGGACACCATAATTTAAACCATAGCATATATAAATAAGTATTGAAATTCAATAATTCCATGTTACCAGTATGTCAATGACCATTTAAAAATATATTAGAGGTTTAATCACAGTGAAAGTTTTCTGATTTTCAACTTTTTCAGTTTTACGTACAGAGCTAAGTGATTAAACTTTTTCTTTAAAAATTCAATAAAGGTTAGCTGATAATAATGTGTATGAAGTACATTCCTATAATATAACTTGGTAAAAAAAAAAAAGAATTGATTATGTATGGGGGGCTTCCTTTAAACCCAACTCTATAATGATTATAAGCTGGATTAAATTTTACTGTCATCTAATAGTTACCCAGTTTTTTACTTCAATGTGAGAAGCCTTTTCATTTTTAATGATTTTTTTATAGCTAATACCTGTCAAGAAGCACACAATAACTGACATCTCACCAAAAGGGTTGGTCAAAATCTATCTCAATAGAATTATATTTCTAGTGTTTTTCCATGTGTTTTTATTACTTAAAAACCTTCCCAGATTTTCTTTTTTGATATTCCAAAAGGATTTAGCTATCTCCTTACTTTCCTATTTCTGTAAGGAAAGTAAGGGATGCTGGGAGGAGAAAGGGAGGAAAGGCAAAATGTTACCTGTAATGTTTGGGGGTTCAACAATTCTTAAAACATATCCATGGACCTCCTCCCACTCCCAGTAAAAAAAAAAAAGCCACATCCCAGACCTTCTTTTAGACTGATTAGTACCAGATCCTTTAATGTTCCATTTGATTCCATTAGGCTATGAAGTCATCCTGAATAAGGAGAGGATTCACTTACTTCCTAGAGGAACTGCTCAGTTGATATGTTCTGGATTTGTGTCCCCACCCAAATCTGATGTCAAATTGTAATTTCTGGTGTTGGAGGAGGGACTCAGTGGAAGGTGACTGGATCATGAGGGTGGATTTCCCCCTTGCTGTTCTTGTGGTAGTGAGTTCTCATGAGATCCCATTGGTTAAAAGTGTGTAGCACCTCCCCCTTCCCTCCCTTCCTTCTGCTCCAGCCATGTGAGACATGCCTGCTGCTTCCCCTTCACCTTCTGCCATGATTGGAAATTTCCTGAAGTCTCCCCTGAGGCAGAATCCTGTACAGCCTGCAGAATTGTGAGCCAATTAAATCTATTTTCTTTGTAAATTACTCAGTCTCAGGTATGTCTTTATTGCTTGAAAGAACAGACTAATACATCAGCAGATATCTAAGGTAGATCTCCTTGACATCAGACAGATAAATTAAGTTGCTTTCCTCCCTTCTCATTCCTTTCATCGTTTAAGTAAATTCTTAAATTCTAATGTTTTTTTCAGTAACTAGAAAAGAGGACAATTTCTCTCCTTCTCAACTTATCTAAACAGAAACTAATTCTAAACAGAATACATTACCCAAACCTTCAACAATATTGATTTTGTTTTATATAAACACACATACACATATGCATATATATGTAAAATTTTATATGCAACGTATGCCTTTACTAATATTTGTTTAATATTTCTGCTTTAATGTTAAAGAGACAATAAGATCCCTGCTATCAGAAGCAAATCTTATCAAGTTACTTGTATAATGTAGCAGAGCAATGTAGAGTTTGGTTTTGCCATTTTAACCCTACTGTTTTTGACCCTGAGGGTATTTTAGTGCAAAAGCACTTTTTAATACAAATATGTAAATCAGAGGCTAACATTAGTGAATCTTAGAACTCTATATTCAGCTAAGGTGTTATTCAAGAATAAAAGTGAAATGAAAAGTTTATTTTCATGCAGAAATAAAAAGAATTTGCCATTATTAGGCCCTAGTTGTAAAAGAACTACTAAAAGAGGAATTTTAGGGACAAGGAAATCTTGGAGGAAGAATGAATATGAGAAGGAATGATAAGAAAAGAGAGTGATTAATACATGGATAAGTTCAAACAGACATGGACCTTTAGAACAAGAATAATGACTAAGTTTTATGGTTAAAAAAAGAAAGCTGAAGTACTAGGCAGCAATTACATGTAAGTTGTTGGGGACAGTCACAGAAAATTTATATATTAACTAATAAATAATTGAGATTCACATGATGGCAAGCTGTGTCATCCAAGAACATGTCTGTCAGATTACATTTTCAAAAGAGACTGTAAGATGACACTCCTCTCATCAAGAAATGGGGTCTATGTCCTTGCTCCTTTAACCTGAGCCATCTTGTCTCTGAGTTGTAACCAGTAGAATGTAGCTGAAGTGACACTGTGTGAATTCTAAGGCTAGGTTACAAAAAGTGATGTAATTTTCTCCTTGTTCACTGGGACACCCACTTCTGCACACCTGAGCCACCATGTAAGCTGTCCAACTACCCTGAGGCCTTTATGCTATGAGGAAGCCACAAGGGCAGGGTATGAGTAGGGAATCTGGGTGTCAGCCCCAGCTCAAGTCCTAGCCAACAGCAAGCACCAGCTGTCAAACATGAAAGTGAAGATGCCTCCAGATGATTCCAGCCTCGAATCATTGGGCCACTTAAGGTTGTTGAATCACCACAAGTCATTTGAGTTTTCCCACCTAAGGCCTCAGACATCATGGAGCAGAGACGAGCCATTCCTGTTGTGTTCTGTCTAACCTCTCACCCACAGAATTTGTCAACAAAATGAAATGGCTGTTTTAAGCCCCTAAATTTAGGATGATTTTATTTGTTATCCTAATAGTAACTAGAGCAAACAGAGAATGCCTTTTTCATGTTCAGTTTTTTTTATTGCTTTTCTTATTAATGTTTAAAGTTTTCCTCATATAGATCTCATGCATTTCGAGTTAGTTGCATTCCAAGAGATTTTATCCATTTTATGACTGTAAGTGAAATATTTTCTCCTATTGTTTGTAAGTGGGTGCTGTTTACATATAGAGATTATAAATTCATTCATTTGTTCCCAGACAATTTTCTTAAGTTTTCAATATGTTTTAGTGGTTTTTTTTGTTGATTCTTTTGGGACTTCCAGGCATATAGTCAATCATATCATCTGAAAATGATGATTTTATCTCTTTTCCCTGATTTTTGTATCTCTATTTTATTTTACTTTTATATTTGACTTGGATAATTTAAGTTCTACACATGCTGAGTTTTCATAAATATATATTTTTAGATAAAGTTACTGAACTTTTATTATTAAGCTTCCTGGGGAATGATCAGCTGGGGATACCTAGGCAATTGGATACATAGGCTCGATGCTCAGGAGAGTAATATGTGATCTGAGAATTTGAAATCTGAGAATCATCAATGTAGGGGCAATCACTGAAGTCATGAGAACCGATAAAAGGGCTCCAGGAGGAACAATGTATAGCAAGAGAAGAGAAAAGAGTCTAGGACAGAACCCTCAGAAATTAACATGTAAGAGACTGACCAAACAAGTAATCCTGGAGCAGAGAAGTTGAAAAAACAAGAGTGTTTTGTAATAGAAGGAAAAAAAGATGGCATTTCAAAAAGGGGGAAAGGTCTGTAAGTTCTTGAGAAAGTGGTGGAATGTCCTTTGGATTGGGCAATTTGAGGGCTGTTGGTGACCTTGAAACAGCGGAGTGACTGAAGTGGTGGAGGAGGAAAATTAGTTTGCGTGAGTTGAGAAATGAATGGCATGCAAGAAAGAAAGAATTGGGGCTGGCCACAGTGGCTCATGCCTGTAATCCCAGCACTTTGGGAGGTTGAGGCGGGTGGATCAGGAGGTCA